TACGATACTATAGCGGCTATAAACCTCCTCCTCGCTTACTATAACCCTAGTATTCGGCCTTATATTATTCGGCTCCTAGGAACTAAGCCCCTTATATAGGATTCCTTCTTAAAGAAATTTAAACTTAAGTTTACTAATTAGGATATTACGGTCCGATTAAACTCCCGCGAATACCTTAAATAGCTATATACTAGTTAGATAAATAAGAGCGACGCCCTCCGCTTTTACTAGGACTTCTATAGTATCGCCGAAGGGATACTAAGGAGACTTCTTAACGATATTACGAGGAGCCGGCTCTTTAGAGGAGAGAGAGAAAGGTTAGGAAGTTAGGCTAACGCTAAGCGCTAAGCCCTGCCTAAGGTATTAAGACCCTAGCTTTACTTAGTCGGTTATATACCTTTTATATACCCTCTAATAGTTGCTTAGATACTAGAGGACCGCTTTTGTATATAAGAACTAGGCGACCTGTACTACTATCCTAGTATACGGATTGTCCGTACCCGTAACTAGCGTACTATCTACGTCCTTTAGGATACCTATTTAAATAGGCTTAGCGAGAAGTATAGTATACGTAGTTATATTAGTCCGGCTATACTAATAGCGCCTCGGTACGTTAAGATATCGATTTAGCGTATACCTAAGGGCTATATAGCTAGTGCTACCTTTAAGACTTAGTATTAAGAAGGTATTAGTAAAGTACTATAGCTAGCTATAGTCGCTCGGCCTAATACTTACTATACTATAGGCCTACTATTACGATATAGTTCTAACCCGACTAAGGAGTATTATACCGCACTCCTTTAGCTTATTAAGTACCTAGTTATTATTCTTAGCTATAGCTTGTGTTTCCGAGATATATAGAACGAGAACGAGCTTAACTTTACTAGTTACTACGATGCCTTATAGGCTTACAATCTAGTTACTCGCGGCTCTATAGGTAGCTTCTACTTTACTATTATAGGCGGACCTCTACTATATAAGTCTAGCCGCTAGACACTCGTTATACTATCGTCTATAGAGGCTAAGTATATCTAACTTACTATAGGTACAAAGGAGGCCGTTACTCTAGCTTAGTTGTTAGAAGAGATTAGTTATAAGGGCACTATTAAGCCTATTACGCTATATAAGGATAGTTAGTTAGCAATCGCTATTACTTAATCTACGAGTATTAATAGCCGTACTAAGTATATTAATACTAGGGTTTACTATATCCGAGTCCGCGAAAAGATCGCTAATAGTACTATTATAGTTTCCTAGATTAGTATATATAATTTAATCGCTAATAGTTTTACTAAGCTACTAGATAAGCTTAAGTATAGTCGCTTTATTTAATAGTTAAACTTAGTAGATTATAAGGCTACTATTAAGAGCGCCGCTTAGCCTGCTACGAAGTATCAAATAGATAGAAGATATAGGTTTATTATCTAGTTTAACTGCTTATTTGCTTTATTTTAAATAACCTAAGAGTAGTCTAGTTGCTTCTACTTACTTTGTTTAAGTAGCCTAAGAGTAGTCTAGTTCTAATACCCCTTTATTTGCTTTGTTTAGCTATATATACGCGATAAGGGGGTAACTTAATATATACGTATAGTAGTCTCTATTACGTATATAATACCTAAGGCCGAAACTGTATTCTTTATCTTCGGGCTTTCTATAATTAGCCCTCTTCTAAATATTCTAGTTTATATCTTAAGTTAGCTATACGCTATAGTTACTAAAGGCTTAAAGCGATTTCGAAGCGCGGTTATTATAAATATCTACGTAAATATATCTCTTTCGTTCTTTTAACTTTAGCCCTCGCTATAGCTTAGATAAGTTAAGTAACGGGGATATCGCCCTAGTCGCTACTATCTAGAGCTAAGGCGGCTATTTTTGCGAGCCCTTCCTACTAGCGGAGAGGATATCCTTTTCCTACCCTAGATACTTCTTTTTATTCTATTCTAAAGAGTCGTTATTCTTTTTATCCTTCTACTAGTAGTTCTTTTAGGACTTAGAGCCGCTTCGGCGGTTTATTAATCCCTTATTAGCGTCGCTCCGGTTCTAGTACCTAGCTATAGTAGGCTTAGATAAGTTTCTATTAGTCTAAGTCCTAATAGTATATAGGTAGTTAGCTTTAGCCTCGAGCTCGTCTAGGTTCTAGTACTAGAATAGGAAGTCGGACTCTACTATCTTATTAGTAGTATAGTTAGGGAGCTTAGCAAAGCATAAGCTAGTAGTTCCTAAGTTACGAAAACTTTTTTCCTAATCGCGACGATCCTATCGATAGGATCGCTTAGGATCCTTAGGATCGTACGTTAAAGATCCTATCGGATAGGATCGCTTAGGATCGCGGGGTCGCGATCCTATCGATAGGATCGTCGCGATCGTAAATTTCGGGATAGCCCGTCCCGAAATTCGAGGCCTAGGAACGCAAAGGACGCGGAATAAGTTACTATAAAGCCCGACTACTCTATATACTACTACTATAGGGTACTATTTTAGGGTATTACGTACTAATATAGGTTAAATTTAGCGGTTTAGTAGGTTTTTTTTATAAATGAATTTTTTTCGTTAAGGTTTCGTTAAATGCAGCCGATATTTCGTAAAGGTTTCTTTTAAAAGCCGACGCTTAATAAGTAGAACTTTAAAAAAAAGTATACTCGAAACACTTAAGATTCTTTTCTAGATTCTAGGATAACTACTAGGTATTAAGACTTAAAAATCTATAATACTCTTCTTAATAGATAGATCCTTAAGTGCTATTTTTTGGATTTCTAGGGGTGGTAAAGTATAACCTAGAAAAAGCCAAAATACCACACCCCTTATTTCTTTTTCCTAGCTTTAGTTTCGTAGAAAATCTATAAATTTTTAATTTTTTTATAATAATATACTAAAAGTAGAGTACCTTTCTACTATATTACTAAGCTATAAACCTACTAGAAAAAAAAGATAAACTAGAAGTAAAATGTATAGAAAAGCGATTTTCTTTCCTTTATATCTTTTTATCTAGAAGGTTTACGGCTTAGTAATATACGACAAAAATGTTCTATTTTTAGTATAGTATTAGCCAAAATTCTAACTTTTATAAGTTACCAATTTATCGTTCTAGGATAGCTTAGGATCGCTCGCGATCGCTCGGGATTGCTCGGGATCGCTAGGATCGCTCGCGATCGCTAGGATCGCTAGGATCGATAGGATCGATAGGATCGGTAAAAAAGTTTTCGTAACGTATATTAGTATAATTAATATCGTAGAACGTACGTAGACCGTCTTCTTAGACCTTTATATATCTAAAGGATACGTTATAGTAGGCTTTAGTAAGCTTACTATATCGCGTAGAGGCGGGTTTAATAGTTTCTTCGATAAGATCCCTTAGTTTCCGCTATATAGGCGATTCGGTATTAGTTTAGCGGCTAACTATATTCGCTAGCGACTTTTCTTCGGTACCTTAGATCGCCTAGCGAATATAGTAGTTACTATTTTATTATATATTCGCTATTCGCTACTATTCGAATACTGTATATCGTAGTTTTCCTAGCGCCTAGTCTTTAGAATTAGGGGTTTTAGTTATAGTAGATCTCGAAGGGGATTATAGCCTAGCTTTAGTATAGTCTCGTTATTAGCTTAGTTCTCTAACGAGGACGAGTCGGCGCGCTTACGTTTCCTATAGTACTATTCGAAGATACTAACTAGGGCTTAGGAGCGCTTAAGGTATTTCTTAAGTTCTTTTTTATAAAGGATAGTTATATCGATTATATTAAATCTCTCGATCTCTTCTTAAAGCTTAGCTTTCTAGTTATTTGTCTAAGGAGTAGACTTCTCTTAAATAGTATTAGTTATAGTCGATAGGATTTAGGTACTAGAATCGGTACGGAACGTTAATAGAGCGTTCCTAAACTAGTTCCTATTAGCGTTATTTTCCTCTAGAAGGCCTAGAAGTTTAGAGAATATAACTAGGTTCGAGATATCTTCTATAGTCGTTTCGGTAGCGCTTCGCGTTCCTAGTAGTACGTTTCCGCTAGTAGATATAAGAGTATCCGGATTCGTTCGGCTAGTACTATAAGAGTTAGTTATAGGAATACGTTCTACGAGAGCCTAATTATAAGAATACGTTTAGGAATTAGACGCTATTTCTAGTTCTCTTACTCTACGGTATTCGTTACAATTAGCTAAGGATAGGTAGGGTACCGTCCTAGTAGTAGACTAGGCTTAAAAGAGTCTCGAGTTTATATAGCCGTTTCTTTAGAGAAATAGGAGGTATTATACTGTAGAAGGAGTAAATAAATAGGTATATAGGTACGAAGTAGTAGTTAGATCTCTCTATATAATAATATCTAAAGGACTTAAAAGGAAAGAGAGTAAATAAAGAGTTTTTATAGTATACTAAGCTTTATAAATCGAATATGTAGCGCTACTAAAGAGCTCGTAAACTAGTTATAAGTTAGGGTTCCCTAATATTAATATCTATTAGACTAAAAAACGCCTCTAGTAGCGAGTCTCTATTAGAGATAGGCTTAGATAGCGAGATATAGTACTTATTTATAGTAAGGTAGTATAGAAGATACTGTAAGTGAATTTCTCTTGCTCTATTAAAACGTTATTAAGGTACGAGAGCTTTAGGTTAATGCCTAGACTAGTCGTAAAAGGCTAAAGTAATGAGTGAATGCTTAGTACAGGCAGAATTAATTGTTAAGGTTCACGCTCGAGCACAATTACGTGGCAGCTGCCGAGCAAAGAAGCATCACGTGGCCGGTCTCTGTTTACAGGGTTCATAACAAAACAAGTGCCTCAGAACAAACACAACAACAGCAACAGCAACAGCAACAGCAACAACAACACTGACCTCCTCGCAGTCGCATCCTTGCGAGAGTTCTGCGCCTTGATAAAGAGCTTGGAGTCGTCTCTGGCCTCTGCGCAAGCTTGACCACGACTCGACGGCGGCGCAAACAACACCTTCATACAAACCCCACACCGACGATATCAACACCTTCAACATCATCTTCACTATGGACGACCAGGCCTATCTTGAGCCAGACTTCGATCCATCGACGCTGACCGTCCCACGCTTGCGATCCATCCTGGTTGCGCACAACGTGAATTACCCTTCATCGGCCAAGAAGCAGCAGCTGATCGATCTGTTCAACGAGAATGTCGTTTCCCAGGCGCGCAAGATCCGGGCGGCGAATGCGCGCGTGAAGCGGACAAGCAGAGGCATCGAGGACATTGGCACAGGACGAAAGGGAACAGGCGCTGGTGACCCTGTCGATGAGATTCCGCCTACGCCAGCGACGACAAGAAGCTCGAGACGAACGACTCGCGCGCGAACCGAGGAAGCGCAAGAGGTCGAGCCAACACCACCACGAGGCCTGCGTCATAGCACTGCGCCGCCAGAAGGTGGCGTGACGCCGAGAGTGGTTTCGGGAAAGCACGCCACCATCATGGAAGAAGAGTCCACGCCGAAGAGGCCGCGACAAGAGAGATCCGAGCGCTCAGTATCGCGGACAGCGAGAACTAGGCAGAGCGCCGCGACTCCAGTGGCTGTCAAGGAGGAAGATGACGAGAGCAGTCCCTTCTCCAATGAGAATGTCTTCCAGTCGCACGCCACCCCCTCAGATCAGCTTCGGCCACTATCTCGAGATTCCGAGCGCAGACGCACCACCATGAGTACCGCCAGATCCTCCAGCGCCGCGCGCGATTTGGAGAGACGGAATCGAGACTTACGCAGGCGGACCGACGAGCTTCGTCCATTCCGACCACAGACAGATGGAGCTGTAGTGCCTTCGCGCAAGACCTTCGACGTACCCACCGCAAAGCAGGACCATGTGGCCATCTCAGAAGAATTCACTCCAGAGGAAGCGCAAGAATTGGTCACTGCACAAGCATCGGGCGAGCTCTTGCCTGTTCGACGACAGACTCAGCGCCCTGGAAAGGTTGCGAAGCGTGGTGTTGGCGCAGTTCTGCTAGTCATGGCATCTGCTGTCGGTGGCCTTTGGCGACAGGAGAAGCTTCAAGTGGGCTACTGTGGAGTGGGACAGCCGTCAACCGAGATCGCTGGTGTTGAGATTCCACCATGGGCAGACGTCGTTCGACCACAGTGCGAGCCATGTCCGCCACACGCCTTCTGCCACGAGAACTTGCACACCGAGTGCGAGAGTGGCTTCGTATTGACGCAGCATCCTTTGTCAGTCAACGGACTCATTCCTCTACCACCCACTTGCGAGCCAGACAGCGCCAAAGCACGAAAGGTCAACGCTGTTAAGGAACGCGCTGTGGAAGCGCTGCGACTCCAAAACGCCAAGTACGAATGTGGTGAAGCATCTGTCCCAGCTTTGAAAGAGGCCGCACTCAAGACTGCCATTGCCACGAAACGCCGCAAAGGCATGTCCAACGAAGAATTTGAACATCTCTGGTCGTCTGCCATCGGCGAGATTGTGAACTCTGACGAGATCGTCAGTGGAGTCGATGGGTAAGTGAACACCAGCCCCGAAAACAGAGCATACGACGATTCTCCTTATTGCCACACACGCGCTTACACAAGGTTCTGATCATACTGACAGATTCTCCGCCTCCCCAGCGCCGAACCAACCCTCCGAAGCACATCCCTCGCACGAATCCCCTTGTCCTGCGCCCTCCGAAGATCAATTCGCCAAACGCTTAGAGAGTATCTTTGGCAAGTTATAGGCGTCTTACTCGTGCTCTCTGGAGCTTCTTACACCCGCTACCGAATTACGACTGGGAATGAGACGGAAGTTAGAGCTAAGCAATTGGCCTCTCATGCTCTGGAAAAGCTTAGCTACCAAGCGGCGCTGCATGCTCAGGACGCAGACCTGTATCAAGAGAACTACATCTCTGTTGCACAGTTGAGAGACGATGTGCTACGTGATGAGTTCAGCGCCAGTCGAAGGAAAGCACTTTGGGAGAGAGTGGCGCAGAAAGTAGAGGGAAACAGTAATGTGAGACCCATGGTAAGAGAAGGTAGAAGTGGTGACGTGGGACGAGTCTGGGAGTGGGTCGGTGCTGTGGCTTATCTTGAAAGTCCTGAAGGAGGTCATAACAGGAGGAAGAGTGGTAGAGTCAGCTTCGCGCCGGATACGAGTGGCGGAAATTGTTCAAGCTTGATGGAGGCCGGCAACGGCAGTCTCGTCAAGCGCGAGGAAGGGAAGAGAAGCAAGTGGGAGGAGCAGCAGCAATACTACTGATGATCTCGATCTCGATTTACGTTCAGGCGCTGGGCGGTGGTATTGGCGTGGGAGAGCTTTTTTTTTATTTTGGCCGACTGGAGACGAATGGCCGCGCGGAGTTGCACTGGCATTTGTGTCTCGTATTACTGCTTCGAGATACCACACCAGGGACTGCTTTTCCTTGGGAGCGAGACCATTTCGGCGAAACGTGTACGATCAAGCACGCTGCTGCTTCTTGAAGTCTCTTCATTTTTTAGAACGAAATTGACTGTTCTCTGCGTCAGCTTCATGCAGGCTTTCCCATACATTCACTATATCCTGCGGGAAAGGGGAAAGAATTTGGGAAAGGCGCGAGATGCTGAACTTTGATAGATATCGCCGATACCATTGATATGGTTGCGAATGACCATTGGAATCTGGAGGCACTTCATACGCTGGAGCTTCCCTGATCGTCTTTACCACTTACACAAAGACGCACCGTGGCGCTGATTTCATGCCCAGCGCCGTGATCCTTATCGAGATCTCAGAAATGGAATCAGGTGAATCATACAAGAGCTGGAGAGGACCAGTTGGGTACAAGAGCGGTATATGAGTTGAAGTGAGGACACTGGAGGCCTCGAATGTTGGGTATCGATGAGGCGCGGCAGATTTACACCAATGGTTTTGCGAACTCGAGAATTCTGGGCAAAATCATTCTACATGAAGTCCAGCGGCATATTGTATCTTGACAGGGAGTCCTAGAAGATTCTCTGGCACTGAGCGCCGAGTGTTGAGCTTAGCTCGGCATGCTCGCATCAGGAAAGCTGAGAGGAACTCTGTGAAGCTCTGAAGAGATAGCAACTCTTCCCAACAGCATCAAGTAAGTGCCATCTTCCAGACACCCGTTCTGGGCGAGACTGTTAATTTCGAGGCCGGAGACGTCTTGTGGCTTCCACTGTTGACAACACTAAAGGATATTATCCGGGGTTGCGTCAGCCCACTTCACCCCTCGCCCTAGCTCGGGGATTTAAGCCATACGTAAAATCGCTTTTTCTTAGTAGGCTACACGTAAAACTCGACAATAGTAATGTTATAGGGCACATATAGTAGGAAACTGAATATAAGTACAATAAGGGTTAAGAAGTAGTAGATTTCCGGTATATTAGCGACTAAATTGCGACCGTAGGCGGTTAGAATAGACTAAAAGTCGGCCTCCGCGCATACCTCGCGTTAACTATATAGTCAATTACTTTACTAGTCGGCCTATATATCTATTGTATAACTACTACCTCTTCTTACTAAGTAAATAGTTAACTGCTATATCTACTATCTACCTCTTCTAATTTAATAGGGTTGTTCTTGCTACTAGCGACCGCGCCTTTATAACGGTTCGATTTCTTCGGAGCGTAGTAGAAATAGCGCTTGCTTTAGACGGACTTATAGCGGCGGCGAGGAGGTACTAAATAAGGCTATATTATAGTATATATAGTATCTTTATTAAGTAGCGCCTCGTCTTATTATAACTAGTCCGATCGAGTGTTAGGCTCTTACGCGAATAGGCTATTTAGTAGTCGCCTCGGCTTAACGGTCTATACTAGAATATCGCCTTCTTCGTAGTCGCAAGTGCGAGTCGGTAGTAGCAGTATCCTTATCTAGCTCTAATAGTAGCTAACGTTGCCGCTATTAGTTGTATTAGTGCCGCGCTTATAGCTATTAAGAATAGTCGCATATAGATCGCCGGTCTTCTTTAAGGTATTATTATCGGTAGTAAGAAGCTACTTATCGAAGATACGCCGTAGCGGCTTATCGATAGACTAAAGCTTAACGTCTATCTACTTAGTCTTACTATTATTATTAAATACGATACGGAAGGCCTTACTATACTTAAGCCGATATAAGCGTGCCCTCTCGACGGCATTCTATACCTCTTATAGCATCTTACGGCGGTTATTATTAGCTAGGTCCTTGTCTTGTTATATAACTTATAAGCGCAATTTATTCGCCTTAATAGTACCTACCCTTATAAGCCGATTAGGCTGCTCCTTCTGTCGCTTCTTTACTCGCTTAATAATACTCGTAGACTAGTATTTACGCTTGTATTCCTCGCCTTTATAGATAGCCGCGTTAACTGAGATAGTATAGGCCTCTTCTACTTGCTTCGTAGGTAACGAGGAAAATAGGTTAAATAATAGTAATATAGAATCGATACCCTACGGGGCTAGTTTTAGATAAGAACGTCGGAAGTCCTTACGAGCTTATATAGCACTGCGAGACGCCTTAATCGTACGAGGGCTAGTCGTAGTATTAAGGAGCTATTGCGGCAGTTCGGGTGTTAGTATTCGCTAAGGTAGCGTAGGGGGTAACGATAATATACCCTAAGTAATTAAGTTTTCGAGATCCCCGAGGTAATAGCGACTATTAGCGTAAGCCTAGCCTTCTAGATCGATAATAGCGGGCTCTACGGAACGTTATTACTTAACCGATGCGATATGCTCCTACTAAGCGACCTCCGCTATTGCTAGCGATTTATTATAGCGGGCTTCTTCCTATACTAATTCGCCCTCGATTGTTTGCTAGTTCTAGTTATAGTTAGTAGCTCTATACTAATCTCGAACATGCCTATAAGGGACCTCCCTATTAATTAGGAATATACCTATCTTCCGGAATACTAACCTTATATTGTAAGAGGTAAACGTCTTACTACGAATAGCCGAGAGCGCCTCGATAAACTTAGGTATTCCGAATTTACTAATACTACGGTATATAGCCTCTAAAACTGCTTGCCTATGCCTTAGTTTATACACCTAGAACAGGATAACGTCTAAAGGCTATATAAAATAAGAGGTGTATAGTTATAGGCCCTATAATTGAATATTATAGCGCTTTGCAAAGGCCGCAAACTCCTTAAAGCAATAGGAGCCGTAATTATCGTATAGGAGCACCCTCTATTCTTCTAGGTCTTTAGGCCTTGTCTTCCGCTTAAACTAACGGATATAGTGCATTGTAGTATCGTTAGTTATATAGCTAGACTCGTTAATAGTAATTAAGAAATTGTCTTTACCTAAGAACGAGGTATAGTTAGCAAGCGACGTTGCCTCGGTAGCGGACTCGGACTCGGAAGTAGTAATAGTAGTAGCAATAGACTTACCTTCCTTCGGTACCTAACGTTCTTAGACTATTATACCTTTAACAATTAACTAATAGTCTATTACCTTACCGAAAGCGTTAACGGTCTCGACGATAGTAATATACGTACGGTTGCTATTACACTCGGTCTAGGCGCGCCGCTTCGTATCTATTATAACGATATACTTATTGCTACTAATTCTAATCCGGAAGCTAGTTTTATCGAAATTCTATACATTCCGCGGCTTTATATTTAGTCGCTTAATTATCGCCTTAAAGCGGTTAAACTAGCTCCTTATCGTAGAAGGGTCGTAAGCCTCCTTCCGCTATACCTTAATTAGTTTAGACTTAACCTTGCTAAGTCTATAGCGCTTAAGAAAGCGGTCCGCCTAATCTACGCTAAATAGTAGTATTGTATCCTTCGGGACCCCCTCTAGTAGTAGGCTTACTAGTATCTCTATCGCTACGATAACGATTAACGCTACTAGTAAGAATATACCTATCGCGTCCCTCTCTCGACAATAATCCGCTAGCGCTAGCTCTTAAGAATAGTCTAGTTTAGTATTAGTCTACGGTCGACTAAATAGCGATCTACGGCCTCTTAACCGCTAGTAAATACGAGAATATAGGCTAGTTGCCTTCTTATCCTTATAAAGCGCTCGAATACTAACCTTCTTATCCGATTTAGCCTCTAATTCGTAATACCTCGAAACGACGCGTTCTACTACTCTCTCTACCCTCTCCGTTTCGGTTAACTGCTCGGTACGTATCCTCTTTACCTTTTTGCCCTTTTTACGCTCTATACCGAGTTTTCTGTACGATCCGTATAGTAGAAGAGAAGAAACAGGAGGAATACGAGGAATATACGCTTTAGAATAAGGTAGACGCGCCTACTAAGGATTATATAAGGAAATAGCGACAATAAGGTCTATAGCTACTATATACTCGGATAAACTCGCTAATATAATATCTAGACTCGCGGTTTTATACCGCATATAACTAGACATCCGAATAGGACTAGAAACTACTACTTTATCGATATTTACGTATAGCCTACTAAGAAAAAGCGATTTTACGTATAGCTAGAATCCCCGCGATTAGCAGGCGTGAAGTGTATAACGGAACCCTAGATACTCTGCTCTTAACGAGCTTAACGACTTAAGACCTTGAACTAAGGCTATAGTTAGGGATGTTAAGGTTAATAAAGGTACTTAAATTTAAGGGAGATTTCTTCCCTACGGTATTATAGTAGCATAGTTTACCTACTACAGCCCTACGGCAAATACAATTAGCTAGAAACTACTAATGTCTCGACAGCGTAGTGCCGTATTATTCTAGTCGCTAGGCCTCTTGCTATAGGCAGTTCGATAAAAGCACCTCGAAGACAAGGTATACACTTCGGAGGGAAAGTAGGTATTTACCAAATCCCTAAGAAGCAAGGATTATAGCGAATAGTCACTTGTTATTTAGCGGTCCGGCCCTAGTTACTTTCACTCCGAAGTGTAGAGACGCTATAGATCTGCTACCTAGTCTCGGGCCTATGCCGATATCCGGTAGATATAATTCTTTATATACGCAGGACGTAGGATGCAGGACGAGAAGCATCTTACTACTATAGCTACTAGATCCGGCACTAATGCTAACAGGTATAGAAAAGCAATTCTTCTCCGAGGCTATTATATACTCGCCTACGAAACTTCTCTCGATCGCCTTACGATTAGCCTACTAGAAAAGTATAGGCAAGGGTAGTAGTGCAATCGCCCTTAGACGGCCCTCGAGACTAAACCGAGCCCTAGCTACCCGCCCGAGCCCTAGTATAACCCGAGATTACGAGATCGGCTGTTCTATACAAAATCGCGTATAGAAGCGGATAATCGCGTCGCTATAGCCCCTCCGCCCGGGCAACTACTACTATACTGCTGCTAGCAGCTATAAAGCTAAAGTTTGTTAGCAAATTAGTAGTATAGCAAAATTTAAGGTATTGTTAGTTGTTAGCTATCTACTTAGGTCTAAGCGGATTGCGACCTGCCGCCTTGTAACTACGCGAAGCTATATATACTAGCTTATATTAGTCTCTTAGTTGCTAACTAGCCTGCTGCTATATATAATACTACTACTAAGTAAACTAATAGTGCTGTTGCTGCAGCACCTAGTAATGAAGTAGCCGCCCTATTAGCTATATAAGCGACTATTGTTGTTAGTGCTAGTGTTGTTACTAAGCAGCCTGTCGTTGTTATTGCTTATATAATGCCGCCTGCTAGCGGCTACTATTAGCTTGTTACCTCGCTCGCTCTTCTTCCGCCTATAGACGTTGGTTCTTACGTACTTATAGGTCTTTAATCTCTCGGCGAAGTAGATCTAGCTTAGAAGGTGGCTCCGGAGCGACTAGAAGTAATAATAAAGGCTTAACTCGTAGATTATAACACTTAAAGCCGGCTAGATAGCAAGCGGAGCTATACGGTCGATTAGCCTTCTAGCAAGGGCATTATTAAGTGCGGTATTAGCTCTTTACGCACTTGTAGTAGTTAGCAACCGTAGTACGAAGTTATATAAGAGACACGCCTAGTTCTAAGGCAAAGTCGACTGTTCTAGCCGTTAGAGTCTTCCGCTTCTTAGTTACTGCAACCTTATTTAAGTCGTCTAATTCTCGAGCTATTGCTATACGCTTTATAGTATATAATATCGCTCCGCTAGTAAGAGGTTTGCGGTTGCTATAGATTACTTCCGGTTCTCGTAGATTGCACGTTCTACGGAAGTTAATTAACTAGTGCTTATAGAAGTAGCTCGGCAATAGTATAGCGCGGCTTCTACCTATTTCGAGAAGCTTTATAATGTCGTGTTTATAAGGATAACTATACGTCTTACGAAGGTAGTCGTTATAGCGGTATTATAAGCAGAGGCACGAGTACGCCGAGTGCTTAATCTCGTTGCCGTTATCGTTAGTTATAGTCCGCAGAAGGTCGTTAGTACGTTAGTATAGATCCTTAACCTCGAGAAGGCAGTAATCGCTTACAACTCGAGAAACGCTCGCCTAAAATAGTCTAGTAAGTGCTTTGTTATACCTCTTTAGGTTCTTAGCAAGGCGGATACGACGGCGATTATGCCCTTCATTCTACTAGTTAAGAAGGCTCTTAAATAAGGTAAAGATATCGTAGCGGCTACTATAGTTAAGCTAGACTTTAATACGTCTATACGTAGCTTCAACTCGCGAGGTTGTTTTATAGCTAAAGTGTAGAACTTCGTTAGTCTAGTAGTCGACAATGTAAGTCTTATAGCACTACTAGTTGTTGTTAAGATAGGCCTTGAATATAGGATAGACGTTATCTAGTTTCCGAGCGTTCTCGTTAAACTCGGCTTTAGTTTAACTATAGATAGTATAAGCGAACAACCGTAGAAACTTGCTAGTTTAAGGACTATTAGTCTAAGAGCCGTCGGTGCTCTTTACCTAACTAAATTCGCTACGCTCCTTGCGGACACGAGTTAATATATCTTACTATAGATGCTAGTCGCAGACGATATTTAATAAGCCTAGATAGACCTCCTTAATCGCTAGCATTAAGGCGACTTCTCGATTAGTAGTAATAACGAGAGGCAGCGGACAACTAGCCTGTTTAAGACCCTTCCGTAGTAACTATAATAAAGTAGTAAAATCGGCTTAATTAGGCTTCGGTCGAATAAGTCTAACGCCGAGCTTAATAGTGTTATTTATCGGTCTAGTAGCGACAATATCTAGAAGCTCGAGGTTATAGATATTAGTTAAATACGTCGTATTAATAATAAGGATGTATAGCGTGTTCTTAAAGGCCTCGAGGAACTTAGGGTAGAGCGCAACTATACTTCGAATAGCACCGTTCTCGGGGTTCTCGTAAATGTCGTAGAATATACTATTCTCGTCTAATAACCTAACTATCCGCTAAGCCTAGTTTATCTATTGTCGAGCGTCTATATTGCGAGCCTATGCGACATTCTATACGTCCTTCGGCTTAAGAATAATACTACGGCCGCGGAAGTAGGCTATAATCTTCGAGGTTAGTATACGAGACTACTATAAGCGCTCTAGTTGTTTAAGGAACTCCGCGGATCTCAAGCGGCGCCTATACGTAGCAAGAGCGACGATATCGTCCTTCTTATAGTTATAGAAGTAGTAATCTTCTTTAATAGAATGCCGGATAACCTATTAACCTTTAGGCTAGCTTAGGTCGATAGTAATAGCGTAGAAGTAGAATTTATAACCTATCTTCTTTAAGGTTAACTTCCGCTTTATTACTTCCTTCTAGGTACGCTTATCTAGTAAGCCGAAGCAACTATATACCTAGCGGTAGCGATATTTAATACTATTCTTGTTCTTCTACGGCTTATACTACTTAAACTCGTATCTAGTCGCCTTTCCGAAGATATAGACGTACGACTCAAGGGCTCGATAAGACGGAAACTGCGACTCGCGCGGTATTAGACTACGAGAGCGCTCCTTTAGTAAGAATAGGTGCTTCTAAGGTCGTAGCGACACTAACCTATTATTAGACAAAGCGACACGCTCGCGAGGTAGGCTTAGTAAGCGATAGCGACCTCGAATACGCGTCTCCGAGACAAATCGGACCTCTTTACCTTTAATACCTTTAATACCTTTAATACCTTTAATACCGTCTACCGCCGAGAGCGCGCCTTCGTCTACCGCCGAGAGCGCGCCTTCGTCTACCGCCGAGAGCGCGCCTTCGTCTACCGCCGAGAGCGCACCTTCGTCTACCGCCGAGAGCGCGCCTTCGATACCGTCTATAATACCGTCTATAGCACCGTCTACCGCCGCCTCCGCCGCCTCTACTACCTCCGCCGCCTCTGCCGCGCCGCCGGCGATAAGATTATCGAGAAACTCTTCGTATAATAGAGATTCAGCCATTTTCGATAGTTGCTAGGCAATCTACTATAAAAGGGGGAAGGAATGCGAATTTTAGGTATATAGTAGATTTGAGTAGAATTCCTTCCTAGGTAACGCGCTACGCGCCCGTCAACAACACCAACCAAGAACGGAATAGCCTATATTAGGTGGACGGGGCACGTAATTCTATACAAAGCCGATTCTACAATGGTGCTAGCACCGGGTTATGCTGGGGCTCGGGCGGGTAGCTGGGGCTCGGTTTAGTCTCGAGGTCAGACGGCGAAGCCGGGCATATCGCTCGCTCCCTGAGCTTAGTACTGTAGTAGCATGAGAGATTTTGCTTGCTTGTTCTTCGGAGAAAGTTATCCTCAATTGAGTCCCGATCAGGCGAGAACTCTAGGATATCGTGTATGAGTGCACCGCCACCGTAACCTGGAAAGGGCCGATAAGGCCTGTCCAGTTGCGCAAATTTGTCCCGTCTCAGCACGGCGCTTGCGTAGGTCTCTACAGCTCTGCAGTGTGCGTGCAGTATGTATGTAGTATTGCTTGCATGATGCAAAAGCTGGGGTAGGAGCGAGAAGGGTGAAGTGGAGGAGCATCTGGGGCCAGCCTTGTCGAAGCTCAGGGTTTGGACTGGGTATCCTTGTGAGATTCAACGTAGTGATGAATGAATGGCGAACTTCTCCGGAAGATTGTGGTGATGCCTGTTGAACGAATCAAGACTGGGGATGTCCTTTGAGGACGAGTAGCAGTAGCAGTGGGTGCAAGGCTTTAGTTAGCAACAAACGGAGGGCTTGCGAAATTTCTTGCTTCCTATACATAGGTATCAGCCTCGATTGACGAGCGACATGGTCCGTAGACCATGCTTCTGCTATGGACAGGCTTTTATCGGGTAGGACTGCATGAGCGAGAAGAATGACTAACCATTGTCACCAATCTTCCATCGTCAACGCGACCACAATCATTTGCTGCCTTGCAGGAAGCCGGCACCGGTGTGATGGCAAGGCTTTCAACCAATATTGGTCGACCATCATGACATTGGTATCTTCCATTGTGATTCGAGCACGTTGCAACAATCGGAAGCCTGCAGAGTGTCAACGCCTCAGCCATTCTCCGAACCATGGCGACGTGGCCTGATGGAGATGAAGGGACGTTACAGGGTGTAGGAGGCGAAGTTGACGGATGTAGACCCATGGTTGTCAAACTCTGGTTGGAGGATTGGTGGCTGAGAATGATGAGACATCCACTGATGTTCAAAATCAATCGTCCGCGACCGCACATCTGTAGGGCAGGCGTTATTGCCGTGAGCTCCGTTGCGCCAAAACCTGCAACATGAGCGATCATCATCGAAAGCCAAAGACTTGTTATGCATGTTACGATATTATCCTATTGTCCGATGTGGTAGTCTTGAGACTGCATTGCACCAAAATATCAGCTCCAGCTCTCGCAAAACTGTGGTACTCCAAGCCCTTAAGCTGACAGCGTAGTGTATCAATCTGGTCTGACCAGCATTTGAGCGCGTCTCTGGAGTCTCTACACGTGTAGACATGAGGTCTTGATAGGACGCCATGTCGCTAATGTTGCCGGCAGCTGTCGGTTCTCGAGCAGTTCGCATAGCGATCTACATACATATCAGTGTTCTCGTCAATGCCAGGTCTGCATGTGGCAATCTCTCTGATGACCCTGCAGACGATCACAAAACCAGACCATCGTCGACTATAGATGGATTGGTGCTGCATTGGTTCCGCGCGTGCAGTTGGCACTCCGTATTGGACGGAAGAAATCCAGCGATCTCCAGTAGTTGATTAATCGGGTCTGGATCCAGAAACGCGAATTTCATCATTCGACAAATGTCGGTGTATCCAGGAGACGTGATCTCCCAATTTTTTAGACATTAAGAAACTGGTCGCGCAAATAGGAGAAGATCTCGAAACAAGGAACGAAGTCGATGTCATCGGCCTGCATTGGTTCGCATTTGGTGTGCATATCAACCATATCGTCCCTTCCCGCGGAGACGGCTGTCACTTCTGTAGCCTGAACGGCAATGCACAATGCAGGAGTTTTGTAGCCATGTCAGACCAGTCAAGCGGTGAAGAAATTTCATCTTGCATTGTAGTTTCAAAATCCGACCTTGACCGTGCATTGGTGACAGCGCGGGTTCCTGCATCAATGCTGAACTTGCGCATGTCTGCCTTACGGCTTGCGCCGCCAGCTGCAGATTTTGACAACCAGCAACATGACACCTCGATCCCAGGAGTGCATGCATATGTACGCTTCTAACACATCAATGCAACTCTTTACTAGACCGCGGCTCTCGGAAATGCGTGGACTCTAAGAGGTAAGGGTTTACTGGTTGCTTCAACAACTGATGAATAAAATTCGTGTACACAGAGATATCACGCGTTGAACGAGCCGAGGACATCCGATCGATCTAGAATATGGCAGAGTCAATTCCGTGACTTGTGAAGTCTCAAATTGCAGCTCTGCATCGTATTTCTTTGGGGCGGCCTTCCATTTCAGGTCCCGAAGCTTGTGTTTCGTTGGGCGTATTCGGAAGTGACTCCGAGGTATGGAAGCGTGCTCAATGCTCAATGCTCAACTTCCTCGCTCGAAACCTTAGTAACCTTGAGGTGGCACTCGAGACAAGGAGCTCAAAGCGGTGCGGTCAATGCTACAGCCTGGTTGAAGGGGTTCGCAGAGCTGATCATTCCCACAAACGCGGCTGGTAGGAGCTGTGAGGCGGCCACGTTCAGGAACAGCCTCAGCGTACGATTCGTGCCAAAGAGGGCGTCTGACTGGTTTGCATCGCGTACCTGCAGCGATATGTCGCTCATGTAGCCCGTGTACTGGAAGTAGCCTTACAGCCTCGGCCGGTCCTCGCAGATCGGTGCTGAGTCTTCTATGCTCCACGTCGATGACGTGCACCGAGTCAGAGACCGGTAGTTCCGGCCTGACAGTTTGAAAGTAGCGAGAAATGGTGATTGCAATGTCGGCAAATAGGAATGTGCCTATCACGTCGAGGATTCCGAGAAGAAATCGTTTTAATCCACGTACCTACCATCGTCATCATGACCGTTGAACAAGAGCCATGTGTCGGACAGCAGGCAAGCCATGCCGTCATGCGGTGTCGTTGTCGCTGCTGCAGCGGTTCGACAGCTCGACATGAATCAGATCTTTGTTTGATCGGCCGACCTGTTGACAAATGTTCAGTACAGTGAGAGCAAGTTTAGCTGGAGACAAGTTGAGCGCGTCGGTTGCTCATGTCAGGTTGTTGGTATGTTTGAAGACTGCAGTAGCCGGGGCCTCCATAAGCCTCATGAAGCCCTTGACCACTTTGTTTGATGTTCAGACGATCAAACTCGCCTTTTTACGCTCAGCACGTGTATTGATGCCCAAAGTAGCGGGTGTATGCAAGAGTCAGAGCTCACTTCCCCCGCCATGCCGACGGGTAGGATTACACATTCAGGGACCATGAAGCTGAAGAAACTCGGGAGATGCTTTTCTGTTGCCATTCTGCTGGTGTGGCGAGGTCACCGCCTGTATTGAGGCCGAAATCTTAGGTGAGAAGTTCTATTGCAGCAAACGCAGGTCGATGAAACTCCGAGTCAGCACACCGCGAGGTTTGGTGTCGCCAACGACATAGACCATGCCCAAGAGGGTGGCATTGTTCGAATCCTGCATTGCGGCTCTCCAGAGGTTGAAGTGGATTGTCCCGAGAGGCGAGTCAGTTGCGCCGTTGCGATACCCGATCGCGTGACACGAGGCCGGAGGCGTCACACAGGCAGTCGGCGTCACACAGGCAGGAAGCGCTCCTTGCATACCATCGGGACTCGAGTCAGCGGTTCGATATCCATCAATTTATATGGGGGGCTATTTTCTTCGTAGAACGACTACAGTAAGGCTTTGGAGGGTCCCTGGCATTGTAGTGCGCCGGATCGAGGCGCTGTGCAGGACGTGATGCCATGTCCGACTGCCTGCTGGCTGCTCTGCCCTGCATGGTGCAAGAGTAGGCCGCCCGCTGCCGTGAAGTACGAGATTGCGCGGCGCTGCGGAAGCACCTAGCCTCACAAGCAAGATCGCACCTGCGCAGCGAAGATCTGGGGAGCAGCAGCGATGCTGGAGACTGAGACAACAAGACAGGCGAGACAGGCGGCACAGGCAGGACGAGATGACCTGGTCAGGTCAGTAGTCGGCAGGAACAATAGCAATGGCATGCCGAGTTGTCTCAGATTTTCGTGGCAAGGCGACACCAGCTCCTCGCCTGCTGCCCTCTGCGAGACAAGTGTGTTGGACAGGTGAGCGTCCCCATCGCCATGCCCATCCATGCCCGCCCCCCGTGACACTCGTGGATATTGGATCGCCTCGTTTGCAGCGAGATCCAATCAAAAAGATAGAGCGCGAGCAGGAACTGGCGGTGAGAAGTGACCCCGCCGCGATCGACATTGGCTGGTCCTGGTGCGATGTGGATGCTTTTTCAGCATGCCGGCACCTCGTGCACATTATTGTTATTATTATGCCACGGCCCACGGCCACGATGACCACATCGCAAATAATGCGTTGACGTGGTGCACAGCCGTTTCCCCTTGCCAGCTCCCTCTTCAGGCAGGAGCGCACGCCTATAGGACGGGGTGGACGCCATACTTATCCTGGAATGCGTGTGCGACTGCCCGCCGAGTGTGGCGTTTTTTAAGGTTGCCTAGACTGCCCACACTGCTCGACGTGGCCGGCTGCCATTCGAAAGGCGTTTTTGGCAGTGTGGTTCGCCGGGGCCATTTCGCTTTCGCGGCAGCCCGGGGTGTGAATATTGCTTTTCGTCTCGGATTCGACGACCTGGCAAACTCCGCTCCGGTAGCGACCAGCCAGCTCCACCTCACTCAATGCCTCTGCGCTAGCTCGACGGACAGGCATCACGACCTGTTGAGGCGTGAGCGTGAGCGAGCCTGGAAGAGCGCGAGAACGATTTGTCGTCGTGTGGTGCTGTTATCCACGTTGGCCCCAGCGTCGACTACGCTTTAGAGCCATGCTGCATCACATGCATTGCGGATGCAGGTGTTGCTAGCTCCCGTATCTTCTCCAACGGGATCCGCTCTGCTTCCCGCCATTGTGCATGATGGCCATCTCTGCTGCTGATGTTTCGACGGTCTTGTTTCGCTGGCAGATCGCGTGAACAATGACTTTGCTTTCTGGCAGTGCGCCTGACGAGAGCATCGCCTCGCCTCTCTGCCCCGTGCCTGCTGCGCCCGCATAGGAGGAGCGAGAGGCATCCCTTCGGACCAGGGATTCGTTTTTGGCTCTATCGCCAGAGGAGCGAGAGCCTTGTCGGTGTGACATGGGTAGCTGGGTAAGCCAAGGCAGAGATGACTGGCAGATAGCGCCACTCCCACAAAAAAAGAGCGGACCGATACTAGGGCCGTGAACCAATGGCACAGGGCGCTGTGCTGCTCGACGCGGCGGCTCTCAATTTTCCTGCCAGCCCACGCAGCCGCCATCCACTCGGCGGCCTGAATCAAGTGAGGGCTTGCAACGTGTGCGGCCAGCGGAGCCAGCCAGCCAGCGAAGCGTACAGTAGTATGTAGGCGCTGGCCTGCCGAAGAAAGCGTTGGGTCTGATGCTGGCGATCTCAGTGAGCATTGCGGCCCGTGCTCGCTGGCTGGCCTGTTGCGTCCGCCGAGCGTTTCGACTCTTTTGAGCAAGCGCTGTGCATGATGATCCGACCGTGACGTGACAATTCCGATCTGGACACAGGGCGTCGCCAGAGGTACTCGTGGGTGCACAGGAAGTGCGAAGAATCATGGGGGAGCGATGGCCATGTCTCCGACCGTGCACGAGTCAAAAATAGCATTTGCCGTGGCCGTAGCCGGCTAAGTTAGCAAATCCCATTATTATTGTGCGAGTAACGTCGATGGGACGACGACTCATTCGGTGCCGAGAGGGCAGGACAGCAGTCCCAATGTTTACGTAGTTCTTACAACAACGTTGGGCTAGCCGGCGAGCCAAGGCAAGGCCGGAGGGTGTTTTGATGGTGCGAGCGCTAGCCGGAACAAAGGTTATGTTGTTACAGTAGGAAGGATCATAGCTGCCAGCAGCAGCCAGCACCAGCAGCAGCCGCCGGCCGGCGATATCGATATCAATTGTGATGCCGGTGCGGCTGTGGCTGTAGGCTGCTTGTCGCTGAACCAACGCCGCACTTCCGGATCGCATCATCATCACTCACACTCGCAGAGCTTGCTTCCCTGGCGCGGCCTCCGGGGTCTGCTTCCCTGCGATCGGGCGGGCGTGGTAAAGCGTAATAGAGGGTAGGGTAGGGTAGGGTAGGGTAGGGCAGGGTAGTGAAGTACGATAGCATTCACGCGCTGTTGCAAGCGCCGGGCGCAGAGAAGCATCAGCACATCGCGTCGAGGATAGTGGCGAGTGAGGGTCAGCGGTGCCGGGCGCGGCGCACATCAACAGATCATTAGTAGTAGTTGTCGCAGAGTGAGCAGCAGCCAGCAGCGGAGGGCCGATCAGCAGTGCATTCCAACCGACGCAACGACGCAAGCTGGCCAGCCACCCTCTGGCAAGTTCCCCCACCTGCGGCTACAGCAGCCATCCCTGCACCATCGCTGGCCTTGCACTCTCCATAGAATCCTCGTGCCTCAGCAAAAGCGAAAAAGCCCATTTCGCCGCTCTCAAAGCTGCAGTCTGCACGCTGCCTGCCACGGCCGCCAGAACCCGCCAAACCAAACGCGCTCGCGCTCACGCTCGCGCTTTGCCTGCCTGCCACCTGCACTGCTGCAGCTCCGCTACTATACATACTCGCAGCTCCAGCTCCACGAGGTGTCGCCTTCTCCCTTGCATCTTTGTTGCGTGTGAGAGCAGAAACCGCGCAACGGCCCGCCCTCACGCAGCAGCTCATCGCACATCGCATCGCGCATCGCATCGCATCGCATCGCATCGCATCGCATCACATCGCATCGCATCGCACCACCGCCCGCTGAACAGCGGCAACAGCAGGGGCATTATTGTTGTCGTTGTGGTATTGTTGTTGTGCGGCACTGTGACGGCCGGCTCTGACTGATCTGGTCCACCTCACCATCCACACCGCTGCAGCGTGTTTCTGCACCGGTGCCTGGTCTGCAGCGCAGCGCAGCGCAGCGCAGCGCACTGTACCTGACTGCCGCTGCAAACGAGGACGAGCCGCGTGCGCGCAAAACACCGCTACATACACGCGCTCAACCGTCGCCGCCCAGCATCTCCCGCCGCACGGTACGCTCCAGCATCGCATCGCATCGCATCGCATCGCCCATCCATCACCATCACCACCACGCCGCGCTCACGCTCACGCTCACGCTCCCTCGCCCGCTTGCCCGCGCGCCGGCTCAGAACATCACCTCAGGTACGTGCGCTTTTCTTTCTCGCCGCCCGCCCAGGCTCCACTCGACCCACCTCCTCTCGCCTTCGCCCGTCCGATGCGGCTTAGCGCCTCGCGATACCTGTGCGCGCTCTGGCTGGCTGGCTGGCTCGTCTCCCGCCAGCCGTGCTGCACGTCCCGCCCTGCACCCGCACCCTCCTGCACCCTCCTGCACGCTGCTGGCCTCGCCCGGCTCTAGCTTCCAACCACCCAGCCTCCGCAGGCCTTCAACTCTAAGCTCCCCACCGTCCTCCCTCGCGCGAACCGCTGCTCACTCTACATGCATTGCATTTCCTAGAGCACCGGGTGCGTCTGTAGTCGCCGTCGTGCAGTGCTCCCGCCCATACGCGCTGCCCTGCCCTGCCCTGCCCTGCCCTGTCCTCTTCACCACCATCGTCGCGCGCACATTGCTGACTTGAGTGCGCGTAGGTCAGTCAGTGTCAGTGGACGGCGCCATTGATCACGACCCACGACCTGTTACGACTGTTACGACTGTACGACTCCTTGCATTAACGACTTCTTTGGCGTCTGTCACTGCGGTGCTTTTGCTTCTGGATCCTGGGCGTCATTGTTAGCAGCGAGCATCATAGACGACATCCGTTCGCCTTTTGCGCCGGCCGGCCACTTCACGACAATCACGGAAACGACACCACTGCTTGACGACAACATCTGACCTCACGAAGCCATCTGCAGCGCCCATCTACGCCTACGACATCACCAAGGATCCGCCCTATTCACCTCTAGTGAGGCGATATTCATCGACGGCAACGACCACATCGCGACCTGCGCCTAATCTCGTGACGCACTGAGCTCGGCTGCTTCGTCGAGTTTCTGTTGCCTCGCGACAACCGTAAAGCTGGCGCTGCCACCCTTGTCCCACTTTCAAGCCCGAGGAAACGACAGCCAGTGGACTTCAGCGTCGTTTGTGCCGCAAAGCTCGTTCGGAGACCGCCCACCCTTCTCCCACGACGCTCAGCAGCAGCATCAACAGCAGACGAGCGCTTCGTCCGTAGGATCGTCGCCTCGGGCTGGTTCTTCCAGTGGCAATTCCATTGGCAATCAGTCATACGACTCCAACACGTCGTTCGCACCTTCCCTGGACCCCAGCAAGCCCGGCGAGTTTCAGACGCCGTCTCCACGCTCGGCCCTTCCAGCGTCTGCGCACTCTCGCACACACTCGCATCCATTTCCTGCACAGAACTATCCAGCTATGAATCAACCGCAGCCACACATGGACGGCTACGGCCAGCCAGCGCCTCCACCAGCAGGCATGCCGCAGTATTCCAACTATGGCCAGCCGCAAGCCCTGCAACCCGCCACGCACAACTACGCGCCTCAAGCTTACGGCCAGTACTCATACAGCACAATGCCGCCCATGTCTGCGGGTCATCCCGTGACTTCCTCGATGGCTGGACCCATGGTTCCACAAAACTCATTGCCTCTTCCGACAATGCAGTCAAACGCCGGTCCACCTTCTGCTGGCGGCAATCAGCAATTCCAGCAGTCGTTTGACACCACCGGCCAGATCGCACCGCCGGGTATGAAGCCTCGAGTCACCGCGACGTTGTGGGAAGACGAAGGCAGTTTGTGCTTCCAGGTGGAGGCCAATGGTGTTTGTGTTGCGCGACGTGAGGACAACCACATGATCAACGGCACCAAGCTTCTCAATGTTGCTGGTATGACTCGAGGACGTCGAGACGGTATTCTCAAGAGCGAAAAGACACGCCACGTTGTCAAGATTGGTCCAATGCATCTCAAGGGTGTTTGGTGAGTATGGAGTCGGTGCTCTTCTTTGATGCTATACTAATGGCTGCAGGATTCCCTTCGACCGCGCGCTGGACTTCGCCAACAAGGAGAAAATCACCGAGCTCCTGTATCCTCTATTTGTTTATAACATTGGTGCCCTGCTCTACTACCCTGCGAACCAGGCGCGTCAAAGCATCAGCAATGCCGCTATGGCAGCGAGACGAGATCCCGGTCAACAGCAAGAATACATGCGCACTCCGCAAGGCACGCAGCCGCCTGCTCTTACCTACTATCACTCGATATCAACCCCTATCGGTGCTAGCGTTCCACAGCCGCCGCACTCCATCGCACCCTACCCAGCCTCGGGCAGACCAGGTCTTGACCGAGCCCATACATTTCCAACACCACCGACCAGTGCTTCGGGTTTGACAATGGGCATGGGCAACGCAGGAAGCACATACGAGTACGGAGGAGCAGGTGCTCCGATTCAATCAGGTCAGCCTCTTTCCATTGAAACTAGCATGTCTGCAAGAACTGTGCCAACCACCCCCTTAGCTGCTCCTTCTCCTGGTCACTCACACGGTATCCCACAATACCAAACCAGCCAGCCACAATACCAGAGCCAGCCATATTCTGCACCTGGCTCGTACAGTTCGCAGTACGGTCAGCAACCTGGTGGCATGAATCGCGGCTATAGTGGCATGCAGGCCAGCCCCGGCGGTGTCAAGACCGAAATGGGTCCGCCAGCACGCGCTGGCGCTGAAAACGAGCATGGCGAGAGCAAGCCTCATGATGGCTACAACAGCCACCAAGACGCTGATGGAGAGCATGAGGGTGAATATACCCACACTAGTGCGTCTTATGACGCCAGACGACAATCGTACAATTACAAACCTAACGCAGCGTCAGGACCCCTGCACTCGGCTCATGCTCAGATCTCGCCTGAGATGACACACTCGCCGCATCAGAATGGAGCTCCGAGCTCTGCAACGCCACGCACGACCAGCACCTACACCGGCTATAACGATACCCCTCAGCGACCAGCGCAATTGCCATCGAGCAACTTGAACTACGTCATGAGCAACGATGCCCGAGCTGGCGCGCCTAATGGTCACGATTCTGCATATCATTCCGGTTACCACCCGGCGCCTCAGTACCCTGCCGTCAACGGCGTGCTCAACGCCAATAACAAGCGAGTGCGCGAGGCCGACGATCAAGAGGACCCATACAACAGGCCTGGCAGTGCCGCCGATAATCTCAAGAGACAACGCACTGATCCCACTATGGCGCCTCGTCCGATCAGCCAACCTCAGTCAGTCAAAGCCGGCGGCGTCAGAAGGTAACAACCACGTAATTTGAGATCTCACGGCCGTACGACTTTTCCACGATAGCGCACACGCCAAGGGTCGCGCCAGTATCGACCTTTTTTCTTTCTTATGTTCACCCACGTCGCCAATTGTAACTTTCACCGGACTTTACGATTCATGACCACGACACTAAACCGGAACTCACGATGAACCATGACCGGGATATCACGGACGAACGACAATACCACATAAACCAGCGTTCTTTTTTTCTTATATTTACCATTCTGGAACGTCAAAGTTACACCATCAGCGTAATACGGAGACGCACGCGACCGACGGATACTCCATCTGCCCTCAACCACGTCTGATTTGGCTTACCTTGCACTTTCCTTGGTTTTATTTCCACGATTGTTCGAAGCAGCTCCTCTTTTGTGGGAGAAAAGGCGGGATGACCCTAATACATCAGCACGGGTGCCCTCCAAGTGGAGCTTGATTTTTGGACTTGATCAGCAACGGCTTATTTGGAATCTTTCCAGCTTACTGCTTTGGGACGTCTTCTGGAATGAAGTAGATGTGTCAGGGAGAGGGCCAGGATTCTTTCCAGGGATCTATGATCGAGAGGCATGCGTATGAGGATATGGATGCACCACATGATTGACATGAGCGTGTTGTTGTGTTGTTGCGTTGGGATGAGAGCGGAAACAGCAAGCGAGCGGAAAAGAAGGGCTAGTATTACAAGATCGCGGCATTGGCATGCTGTGTGATATATGGCCTGAACGAAGCGTGATGATTGTGAGCTGATTGAAAGAGTGGGTAGCTTTTGAGTGCTCTGAAAAAGTCGTTTTTCTTTCCCTTGAACCTCTCCTCTCCATTTCGAAAAGTGGCAGTAAGAAGTGAGGAAACCACCAGCACCAGGAAGAAACTACCATTCGTTCTTCTGACCTCGCACTATCTCCATTCCAGCCCCTTCCTGATAGAACGCAAGCAACGACGGGCATAACACGCACCCTCTGCAGTCTGATTTCAAATGATACCGCACTCTCCTTGTGTCAGCAGGGAGGATGAGAAATACCACTTCTTAGCAGATCATGGCAAGGTGCGTGCAAGGAAGTCACATCGAGCGCCTGAGAATCACGTAGGTCTAGCAGAAGTGCGAGGACAACATCCACGTCCACACGTGTGGCATGGACATTTGCAGATCTGGGACTTACCTATCTATCACGGCTTATTACGGCTGTATGAGGAGCATAGACTGCAAACTTCCAGTAAGTAACGTTACCTCTCATCCACTTCCCAGACTATACAAGTGCGGACCATTCCGGATTCGAGTCCAGCAGCACCAAGTGTGATTTCCGTTCTCAGTAGCCTTGAAGATATTTGAGTACGTGAAGTCAACCCACTAGGCTTACGGATCCCTTCACCCAACCTGTGCGGGACATGCTGGTTGGTTGAATGCCTTTCACAGATTTGGACCAAAGCCTTGGTTATACTTGGCGGGAAGTGACTGTGATTCCGCGATCAGAAGAAATGAGCCAAAGCGAAAAGACCACGTTCAGGTCCCAAGTACTTCGAAGCTGCGCTAGCTGGAAAAAGATGCTCCGTGGTGGTATTGGATGCATGGCTTGGGCGAGAGCAAGCTCACAAGCAGTTTCATGGCAGACAGCGATCTCTTGAGCATAGCTAAGACCTCGAAAAGGCATGGGCATGGCATGGGCATTCAGTCCTACCTGCGGTCTCCGGAATTTAAAGATAGGCAAAGTGGTTCTGTACACTATCTGACAGCATTCAGGACACGTCGATACAAACGACTTTGCTTTATACAGTACGAGGGTAGGTCCGCAGGTCGTAGATAGTCGGCTAGTCTGGGGCATTAAGCGTAGAGCGCGTGCATTGCTGCTTACCAGTATAGCCTCTCTTTAGAGTATTGACATCTAGCCTCTGTTGCCGTAGATTCCCCGTAACCAGGCCAAAGGCTGTAAGAAGTGCTCGTGCGGCCGGCAGACTTCAGAGGCGCCTACCTAAGCAGAGTAAGAATTTCCAAATTTCGATTCACTGGCCTATCTGCAACGGAGCTTTCCTGCTTGCATGTGAACAGATAGACCCACCCACTGTCGACCTGAAAACTGGCATGTGAAGTACTGAACTCCGCCTGACCTGCCTAAGCCACGCACCAACCATGAACTGCGAACTTTCATATTCCTGGCTCTGCTGTCCCGCATTGCATGAACAGCCCTGGTTGCATTATATGCAACAGTCAGCCTAATGCAAAACTTTCCGAACTCCACCCGTAATATATCGTGCTCCAATTAGACATCCATGCCAAGGAAAACGTAGCGGTCGCTAATGCAGCCTTCGCTGCCGGTCCATGCCTCAAGCATAGTCAGTTCGAAACCGACCCAGTTTAATGACCGCATGAGGTCCTTGAAATCCTCTGAGTCGGCGCTTCGGTCAATGCAGATGACGATGTCGGTGCAATCGAAATGATCGCTGCTAGCCAGTTCAAGCAAGGACATGAGTCTGTTGAGATATGTCAGCAAGTGGAATTTAGTCATGTGAAAACGGATGGGGTTCAAAGCTTACCCGGGCTTCAAGTACATTCCGACAACGTCCTTGTCGAAGAAGACGCACATGGTGGCCATGTCCTCTTTTTCTGCAACGAAGCCTCTGAACCTTGCGCCTGCCACGTAGTCCCAGATCTCGACATATTTCGTGATCAGTCCTCTCTCGCTTGGATAGTTGCGGCCATCCGGTGAGGCTGAGGGTGTTGGCTGACCATGCGCGATGGTGGTGCTCTGGTGCGGGGGCGGAATAGGTTTGCTGCCGACATGTGTGTTTCGCAAGTCCATCATCAGCGAGTCCTCAAGGCCAACATCCTTCTCAACCAAGAAAGTGGTCTTCAGTGTCTCGCAGAAGAGTCTCTCACACTCTTCCATGATGTGACGAGCGGCGTCCGTCGAACGCTTGCGCTGACGTAGACTGAGTCGGCCTGCGGGCGCCGCGTCCGGGGACGGCGGTGGTGATGGTACGCCTCCTGGAGGGGCCTCAAACCCACCTAGACATGTGGCATCAGTATATAGTTTGTTCCTGCATGTGGTTGTTGGCGATGTTGTGCATGTACATACCACCCCGCTGCTTGTCCCCCTGGAGTGGAGGAGAAGTGGAAGCCGGTCAGGGCCATAGTGCTGGCGTCGACGACGTATGCGCTGGCCTGGGTGTTGGAGCGGCGCGAAGACTCGGTGCTCGAGTTGCGTTGGTCATTACTACTTTTACTACTGTAACTTAGACGCGCCATTCCGTCGATTTGCCACGGTTCCTGCTTGCGAAGGGCTGTTGAGATGGGCTTCGAGGATGTTGAAAGCGGCGTTGGGGGCGGTGACGGTGCGTAGGCGTGTGTAGGCGTGCGTAGGCGGAGGAGTGGTAAGGATTCTTTGTGTGCGGTGGTGGGAGAAGAGGCGGAGTCGAAGATTCCAGCTGGACGGGGCATTGCGAGCCACCCTAAGGCCGCTAAGCCGTGGTCTGGTCCGGATTGGCTTGGCTTAATTGGCTTGGCTTAATTGGCTTGGCAAACTCACTCTTTGTCCTTGACTTGCAAGTTTCAACCTTCACATCAAACACCAAACACCCCGACTCCCGCCTCGTCTCGCCCGCGGCATCCCAGCCAGGCGATACTGCCACATCATATGCGCGGCATCGCTCTCCGACGCTGCTATGCAGATGCATCAGCAACGCCTGTGCTGCAGTCTCCTGGACCATGGCTTGGACTGCTTCTGATGGCAGCTCTGAGAAGACAGCGATCTTTCCATGCTGCTCCCCATTGCCTACATGAACGTGACGTGGCGTCCAACAACGTAGTAATTGTACGCCCGATAGCAACAAGACCACGGCCGCCAGATGGAGAGAGCAGCTACCGTACGCTCGCTGGCTTCAAGATGCGTGACGTTACGTGCAGAACAGTGCAAAGGAGAGGCAAAGAACATTATCGGAATGATATAGTCGAACAACTTACGCTTACACACTCCTGAGAGCATGTGCATCAGAGTATGGGCAGGGCAGGGCAGACTGGAGGAGGAGACGTCTTCGATACATGTACTGACATTGCTACTGCTGTCATAGTCCACATCCACCAGCACTTGCCGCTTCCATCACGGAACTTGCGAATGCATCGATTGCGACTTCTTTGCGCTGCTGGCACGATGACGATGATCCGTACTCTTGCGTGACAACATCGGACTTGAGACGCTCCAACAACATCCATCTCACCCACAGCATCTTTATCCTTGCCGTCTGCTGCTGCTGCAAGCATGAGACATGCCGTTTGTTAGCATCCGCAAGCGACAGTCTCGTGTATTTGGCAGTCGACCCGATCCCGACAGCCTTCTGCCGACTCCCTTGGTTGCAGCAACCGCAAGAAGTCCGCCTCCAGCCCGAAAGCCTTGGACGAACACTCTGAGAAACTTGCGAAGATCCGTGTCCGGCATTTTTGACAGATTCAGGCCTCATAATAGTGAGTGTCTCTATCTTTCTCCTCAGCTGCCAGAATCGTCGCATATGCATTCTGCTCAGGATGACTGCAGGTACGTATGCAATGTCGCTGACTTCTGGCAGTCACACGACTGGATATGGACGGCACGTGTGAGCCGAACCATCGGACAGCGACTCCACCACCTCCAGCCATGGTCGCAAGTGAAGGTCTGCTTATCAATCGGTCTCGGGGCCAGCTGCGGTCCACCTCTGGCAATCGTCAGCTCATGCCACAAAGAAAGCGCTCCGTGCGGTTCGAGGGCTTCTCACAAAGTCAGCTTGATGGACAGATGTCTGATGACCATGCGACGGCTCCTGAGCCAAAAAGGCGATCACGAAGCTCACGTTCGACCAGCAAGAGCCTGGAAGCGTTGACAGCAAAGCTGAAGCTGGACAATGCAACTTCTACCGTAGTCCGGCGCTCCAGTTCCAAGAAGAAGCCCAATGTACCGTACATCCACCCGAACTTGGATGGCATGAACGGATCTGCACGAGACGTGGAGGAAACGCCTGCGCTCAGTATCAGCTCTTCTTCTCCTCCTTCCTCTCCTTCTTCTCGAGGTGCCAACGCAGGCTGGTCCCCAGATACTGGCACAGCTTCGACAGCAGCTACCTCGTGGACGACCTCACCAGCCTCATCCGGATCTCGCAACAAACGCGCCACACCTGAAGATTGTCAAAAAGACAGTAAGAGTGGTGGCACAGGAGAGGAGAACATCCTATCAGTCATCGAAGAAGACAGCGGCCGCTTCTTGCTAATACCGGTACAAGAGACATTGGTTGACATCGAGCCTTCCGTGACGACTGTAGAAAACGCGGCGGCGGCAAAGTGCGCTCTGGAAACTCACTTCTACGACCTCATGATGGAGCCGCATTCACCTCGATCGATTCGTCGCAAGAAGTTTGAGAAGAAATTGAACGAGATGTGTATGCCTCATGACGAGCGTGTGCTTGCGTAGCAGCAATGGAACACGTCCGAGAGTGACCATCTCCGCCAAATGCGTGTGCTAAAGTCGACGGCGCTGCAACGTCACGAAGTCAAGGGCATCTCGATCGCTGGCTTTGACAGCATCCGTGTCCTGGGCAAGGGCAGTTTCGGCGTTGTTCGCCTAGTCACAGAGCGCACTCCAAAATCGAATGACGAACCGGGCTCTAACGAGAATGACGATGGCATACGTGAGACCATCAACAAGATGGAACGCGACTTCTCTCGCTCGGACGGCACTGCCAAGCGCAACCTTCCACAAGGCAAGCCTCTTCACGATGTGTTCGCCATGAAGGTGATTCGCAAGTCTGAGATGCTGCGCGCCTGCCAGGAAGGCCATTTGCGGGCTGAGCGCGACTTCTTGGTGGCTTCTGAGGGCTCTCGGTGGGTCGTGCCTCTCATCGCCAGCTTTCAGGACAACACAAATCTATACCTCGTCATGGAATACATGATTGGCGGAGACTTTCTCGGTCTCCTATTGCGCGAAGACGTGCTTGAAGAGGAAGTCGCCAGATGGTACGTTGCTGAAATGATTCTCTGCATCGAAGAGGCCTACAAGATGAAATGGATCCATCGCGATGTCAAGCCCGACAACTTTCTGATCAGCGCTTCTGGCCACCTCAAGATCTCCGACTTCGGTCTTGCCTTCAATGGTCATTGGGCCCACAGCCAGACTTACTACAATAGTCAACGCGAGTCGCTACTGGACAAGGTCGGCATCAAGATCACAGGCGACGACCAGGATGTCATTGATGAGCAAGAGATGCGAGAAGAGGCGGCCAAGTCTCCGCAAAGATCGCCACGTTCGAAGGTCGATGTGGAGGAGAGTGCTCACCGCGAGGGACTGCTCAACTGGCGCAATCGCCTTGAAAGGCGGAAGCTAGCTCGCAGCGTTGTGGGCACAAGTCAATACATGGCGCCAGAAGTCATTATGGGCCAGGCCTACGATGGACGTTGCGATTAGTGGAGCATCGGCATTATCCTGTACGAATGTCTTTATGGACGCACGCCTTTCTACTGCGACAATCGTCAGAAGACGAAAGAGAGCATTGTACATCATCACTCGACGCTGCAATTCCCGAGCAATGAGCGTTGGTCGAGACCTGCTTCCGACTCGCGACGACAGCTGCCGCCACCAAGCAGCATTGTCGTGGACCTTCTACAAAACATCCTGACGGACAAAGAACTGCGACTCAGCTCGAGGCAGTATCGTCATACCGAACACAGACTGGGTCGTCGCATGTCACGAGACTCAATAACACCAGGACCACTGGCTCGCCATGTGTTCGCAAATGACGCCGAAGAGATCAAATCACATCGCTTCTTCTATGGAATTCAATGGACGCAGCTACACCTTATGTCGCCACCTTTCATCCCTCGTGTCAAAGAGAACCAGTCCATCACCAAATATTTTGAGGAAGAAAAAGACATTGTGACCTCCGACAGCTCCAGCTTCGTCTCTGCTCAGGAAAACATCGACTCTGAGGCCGACGTTGACTCGGACGAGGTTGCCAGAATTCTTGGACCACATCTGCAGAAGTGGAAAGCTGAGCGCGTTGCCAAAGAGAAATGGCTCATTGGAATTGATGATTGTGAAGATGCTGAGCTGCAACGAATCAAGGAGCACTTCGGGGCTGGCTACGAGGAGTGGAAAGCAAGACGAATGATGGACATCGCGCAACTGCGGATCGCGAAGGGCATTGAACCTGACTGGCCACACGGGAAGAAAAAGGGCAAGGAGAGGAAGAGACCAAGGTATATGCTTCTTCATCTTGCATCGATCGCCAATGGCCATTACTGACATGCTCTGCGTACAGGGACAAAATGTTGAGAGATCCAGTCGTGGGTCGGAAGGCTATGGAGTTGAGAAAGAAGAAGGCTTTCTTCGGATACACTTATCGTCGACCTAAGCCAGTGTATCTTGCAGGAAGTGTGGGGAGGAGTCGGAGGAATGCTATTTCTCGACCTACGATTTTGCCGATTGCTCATGACGCTTCGGCTTCGGCGAGCACCGCGCTTTAAAGTGTGATGCTTTTGTTCACCTACCTACGTATCGAATCAATGCAGATTCTCTCCGAACTTGAACTTTTCCACTTTTCTCGAGTGAAACGTGGCTGGACTCGTCTTGTTGGGGGATGTTGTTCCCGTAAATCATGCTCGCTAAGTGTCGTCTATCCATATCTATCCTACGTTTAAAAGCGCTTATGATTAATGATATCAATGCACGAATATCGAGCCTCACTTGCAACGCACTGCTCAGCCGATCCTCACTTCGGCTTTCCTTGGTTAGGAGCACTATCCGCACGCTGTCTCACAATACGGTGTCGACTCAATAGCTGAGAGATGACGAAATGACTGACATCCTCATCACTCCAGTAGCTCAAATGGCTGGCGATGGCGGCGATGAAGTTGATATCAAACGCGCCTTCCTGGATAGCATAATCCACACGACCATTACTGTTGAGTCTCCGCACTTTCTCTTCCTCTTTCCTCAATTTCTTGCCTCGCTCTTCAGCGTCAGCCCATTCTGGGATACCCTTCACAGCCCCAGCCCCGACGTCGCGGGTCTCTGCATCGCTTTGGGCAGATTCACGTCTCTTCTCAAAGTTACTGTAAAGCGTGGTGAGTTCGTTGTCGATCAATGTCGGAGGATGCTCTTTGCTTTCAGAAGCTGCTTGAGCATCTGCTGCGACGCGACTAATTTTGTCTTCACCAATCTTCATGATCTCGGTGCCTTCGGCGGGTAGTGGCGCGGTCGGTATGATCCCGGCAGCAACATTGGTCCCAGCACTTGCTGAGTTGCTAGATATGCCTGGTGCAGATCGAGAAAGAGGACCGCTACTTTTACTGGTGGCTTTCAAGTCTGCTGCAGCTTTCGTCGGCTCTGAACCGTATCCAAGACCACGAGTGAGTAGGCTGGATGCCATGCTCGTCCACATACTGCTCACGCTCTGGCCGACACGTGCTCCTATGCCCGTGAGTCCTTGAGTGCTTGGCGCTCCAAATATGCCTCGCTTGGTGTAAGGCAAAGGCTGAGGCTTGAGTTGGGCCATTGCGGGGGAGATCAATGGTTCGATGCGGTAGGAGATTGGATCAGTTGGATGAAAAATGTTGAAGATCTGAGCGCACTTCGGACGTGCCAGTGGATTTTCGCCAGGGACATCAGCAGGCTCAGAATCCTTTGAAGCTTTCTTCTTAGTTGCAGAGCCAAGCATAGGATCTTCCATTGCCCCCAGGCTGCTTCTGGCTCGATGACGTCCTCCGGGCGGTGTTCGTGCGACAATGGTACGTCCATTCAGCATTTGGAAGAGTCCGATTGGTGAGCCAAGTGCGTAGAAGTCCTCAACGGGAAAGTCAAGGTTCATCTTGTCGACACCTTTGCGGCGTGACGCTGGCTGCTGATCCTGCCTGCAAAGAATGTCGAACATGATGGCAGAACCGAGCGAGTGACCGACCAAGCTGATCTTGCCATTGAAGTTTGGATTGCGTTCCATGAAAAGATGGTAGATGCGATTCAGCTCATTCAGCACGATCATCGAAATGTGATCTTTATATGCTGGCGAATCATAGAGAAGAATATCCAACGCCAAATCCGTGATCATGTCTCTTGCAAATGGAACGCCATCTACGGTAATATCCTCAAGGCTTGGATAGTCTTCTTCATCGATCTCGCTATCCCCAAGGTCATGCTCCTTGCGATTGTGTCTTAGGCCTTGGTTTGGAAAATCGAGCTTCTGCCGCCAACAGATCGGAAGCACTTGCACGCGACTGTTGACGGAATCGGAACCTTCGAGCTCCTGGTTGAGAGCACGTAGATCAGGCGAGTCAGCATATACAGCCTTGATGGTCTTTCGAAATGTGTTCACATCGTGGACGAAGTTGACACTCTCGACACGGTGGGTCAGGCGCTGTCCAATGCCGTGCGTGACCAGGATCAAGTGCTCGATATCACGGCCCTGGTCATCGTCTTCGGTATTGCGATAGTCGTCCTCAATCTCACGTTCGTCACGGCGTCGAGCCTCCTCTTCCAGTCTAGCGGGGTCATCTCCATGAGTAGGGTCCTCCAGAAGAGCTGACATTTGCCTCTGTAGAGTCTGCCTCTTGGTCTCCGAAGAAGTGGCACGCTCAGCACGACTCTCTTCTACATTCTCTCCTTCGCTTGGCTCTTCATCGTTCGCCAAGTATGGTTTGTCTTTTACATTCGTAGGTGGTGCATCCTTCTCGGCCTTCTTTGCAGTGGGGTTAGTCCAACCTCGAGTCAGTCTGACGCCTGCGAAATGGCCGACACCACCAAACCCTCTTCTCACAGTCGAGTTGATTCGCGACCATGCGTCGTCAGTCATTAGCCAAGCAGTCTTCCCATCCTGGTACGTGACAACACTATTCATGTGCTGGCCAAAGAGTCGATAGGTGCTCTGTACTTGCTCTTTGTCGGATATCTCAACGGCTTGACCTGCCTGTGCTGCTTGCAATTCGGCTTTCTTCCGCAAGTCTGCACTTGAGCCTTTCTGAGACACTGGTGGTGGAGCGGTGCTCTCTTCGTCCTCGCCGGGAGCCCACGACTTTGGCCTCATCCGTGGTCGCGACGGCGATCGTGGCTGAGGCTCTGGCTTCTGTGCTGAAGGCAACCTCCAGGCTTTGACCTTCAGATAACCCTCCTCGAGTTGTGCTGCCAGATTCTCGTCGCACGGCTTCTGTTCACTGCCTTCTTGATAGAACCATGTTCCTCTGCGCACATCATACACCGGACCCAGCCAATATGCGGGTGCAAGCTCTCGCGCCTCGACATCTACGTCAAAGAGGTAATCCTCGTTGACGGGTATCTTGGCCTCTTTCTTGCCCTGCCTGCCACCTGCTCTGGCGTGTCCAAGATCACTACTCTGTGCTTGTGTCCGCTCTGCCTCTTCTTCTTGCTCCGACAGCTTCTGAAATGCGATCTCGATTGCCTTGGAGTCTCGGGTGGAGAAGGCGGCATATTTCTTGGGTTGTCCAGGTGGCTTCTCCTCCTTGACCTTCTTGAATGTCAGGTGCGGCTTGCGTATGGGGATGTCTACAGCATGGAACCATTGCGGACGTAGATGAGGGCAGTCTCTAGGGTATTTCCGCAGACTCAATCTGTGCCTATGGTTCACGACATGATCTGCTCCGTTCTGTTGTTGCAGCAAGCCGCTTTCGGTCGGCTCTCCCGCAGTGCCTTTGCTCGGCGCTATGCTTGGACTTCGACTCCATGGCGACAGTTTGGCAAGGTAGCTTCGACCATCAGCCTCCTGCGGGTTGGCCATGGTCTTGCCCGCTGCTTTCGCCCATTGGCCTTCGTATTTGCTGAGCCAGACTGCACGTCTCGTGCTCTGTTCGCTTTCGCCGGCGGCCCAAGGGAAATTCCTCCTGATATACTGCGCCCAACTGGAGATACGTGGAAGGCGAGCCAACTTGAAAAGATTGGAGCATGAGCGGGTCGACCGTATTGCTCGAGTTTACCGCCTGCCACTCCACGATACAGCTTTCAGGCCAAGCTAAGCCAAGCTTTCTCTGCAGCAGGCGGGATTGCAGGGAGAAGACTTGCTTATCTGTCGAAATAGTAATGCTAAAGGCTTGCAGGGCAGGTGTCAGGAGGAGAGTGGAAGCAACGGGCCAACCCGATCATCATGCACCGACAAGTGAGTGAGTGATGGCCGCCGTCGACGTCACACAACACAAGCTTTGGCTTGTGCCTGGCACGAGACAACATCATGGCTTCTCCTGTAGCCGTCCTCGTGTCTCGCGTGACTTGATCACGATGGAACTGTCTAAACAGCTAACAGAGAACAGCAGATTGTCGCACTCAGTCATCACCAAACATGGCTTCAGACACCGGCAAGACCGCGGAGCATGCGCACATCGAGCAGATCATGCAGAGCAGAGTCCTGAAGAATGGAATATACAAATTCTTACTCTCCGATGTGCATATTACCTCTGCCTCAAAAGGCGAGGTTGTCGCACGTCTGCTGCTCTCCGAGAATCACATCAACAGCCAAGGTGGCATCCATGGCTCCGTATCCGCTACCATAGTTGACTGGATCGGCGGTATGGCTATTGCGTCCTGGGATTTTCGCAATGGCACTGGTGTGTCAGTGGACATTCACGTCACCTATCAGTCCAGCGCCAAGGTTGGTGAAGAGGTTGAGATCGAAGGTGTTGCTGAGCGCGTCGGCGGCAATCTTGCTTTCACGAAAGTGGGCATCTACAAAGTGGAAGACGGGAAGAGAGGCAGGATCGTGGCTACTGGCACGCATACCAAGTTCGTCAAGGGTACAGAGCCTAAGAAGGTGGAAACATCAACACGCTAGGTGCCGTGGAGCGCTCCTGCGAAGGACTCTTCCCCCTGCAGCCCGGCTATATCGCTGACTTTCATCGCGCACCTTAACTCATGGAGCATCGATTCACTCTTTCAGCGAAGAGAAACGTCTACGAGCTTTGGAACTCGCCGGTGAGCTTCAGCATTGAACCGGCGGGAATTATGAATAGACTACAGACATCATACAACATGACAGAGCGTATCTGGAAGCGGAATGTAACATTTGCTGGCCCGTCAAACTTCTCTAAATGCACTTCTAAAAAGTACTAGGTATTTGCCAGGTTTCTCGAGGCCTTTTGTCGCCGGCTGGGGGCAAGACTCAAACCTGCCCCTTTCAACCTTCTCTCAGAGCCATGGAGTTGGAGCGGGAAGAACACTGCTGTTATGCTGATCATAGATCGTGCTCCATGTATCGCGGACAGAGGCTGTGTTTTCTGCAAGTAATGCAGAGTGGTCTCACTATCCATGGATATCTACTGTCGTTGTTCAGACAGAATTTCAATTGTATTTGTACCTCATCAAAATTTGACGCGAGTTCCCATCGATCTGCCCCCCGGATGCTCCCGATCTTTCCTTCGCGCGCCAAGCTTTCTCCCGCGTTCCCGCACACCCGCTGCTGCAATTTGAGATCAACGTCGTTGACTGGAAGTGCGACACTACAATCACCGCCCAACGACCCATCACCGGAGCAATACCGCCAAGATGGTAAGAGACACTCCAGAACTCGCCGATAACTGCAGCGCCGCTCTTGACCTCGCGATATGTCAGGAAAATGGAGAAGGAAGACTGAGGCATAGCGAAGGCAAATGCCATGAAAGAGGTTGCGCTGTGTGCTTGGATGCGCAAAGCCAGCAGGACAGTGCTTACAGATAAAACGGAGCATTGAGTAATTGGGCTGCTGTCAGCTACGAGATTTTCCGTGCATTCATGACGAGAAAGAGCAATGCAGAGGAGAAGGGTTGGAGAGCGGCGGCGGCGGCGCGGCATCTGGAATACTCGCAATTCATAAGTCAGCATACTGACTCCATCCTCATTCAGGTGAACGTACCAAAGACTCGCCGCACCTACTGCAAGGGCAGAGACTGCAAGAAGCATACCCAGCACAAGGTCACTCAATACAAGGCCGGCAAGGTATGGCAGTGGACAAGAGTATGACACCGAGGAGTACACCACTCACATACTTTCCAGGCTTCCCTTTTCGCTCAGGGTAAGCGTCGTTACGACCGCAAGCAGTCCGGTTACGGTGGTCAAACCAAGCCTGTGTTCCACAAGAAGGCCAAGACCACCAAGAAGGTCGTTCTCCGATTAGAGTGCACACAATGCAAGACCAAGGCACAGCTTGCGCTCAAGCGCTGCAAGCACTTCGAGTTGGGGTACGTTCAATACAAACCAGAAGACGCAAGAGGAAAAGTACTGACTTCGGCAATAGTGGTGACAAGAAGACTAAGGGTGCTGCGCTCGTCTTCTAAGCATTCTGGTCTTTCTCATTACGGCGTATCGAGGCTACGGAAATTGGGGCGAGTGACTAGGCCTGTAGAGCTAGGTCTCGATGGAGCAGCTTGCACGGAGAATCAATGCATTGAAGACTTGCGCAAAGAACATGACATCGAAATACCCTGCCTCACTGTCAATCCGACATGCCACATACTGATTGCTTGGTACCTTTTCCAGACTTCGCACCAGATGCACAGCTATGCGATGAGCGAGGCATGCAGCGTGAAGAAGGAACAGCATGCTGCGCGCGGTGATGCTCATAGCATAGCAGGAGATCAACAACGATATTCCAGCCACTTCAACGTGCCGTCGCCTCGACTCGTTACCGAACCACATAACGCATCGCGTCGAACACTCGTAGAGGCCCGATTTGTCTTGCCATGCCAAATAACGAAGCCATAACATTCAACTTGGCGGGCAATATGCGGACTGACTTTTGCCAAGCAAATTGCAAACCAGCTGATGAATGGTGCAGAACACTCATGTCCGCGTATCTCTCGTCTACGCTCGTCTGATTCACATTGAGGCCGGAACTAAAATCGTGAAGTTTGTCGAACATCAAGAGCTGTGACAGTAGCACAAGTTCGCCGCCCTCAGTCTGACCTCCTTCCACCGTCCAAGAAGGCCTGCTTAAAAGTACAACCTTCAGCCTCTCGCTCAAAATACTCGAGCTTCGCAGGCTCCTCCCAACATGGTTCAGATTTCGGCCACAGCGTAGTATAGTACCTGGCGGCAGCAATGGTCAGCATCTCTGGTCGAACTGCCTCTTCTTTGGCCTGCTTACGGCTTCTTTATCTGTTCCTTCTCAAACCATTCTCTCGACTTGGACCAGACCTCAACGAATCGAAATGTGCCGGGTGTTGCTGAATCGGAGAAGACATCGAAGAAGAGACATTCGGGTTCGGCGGCACATGCGGCCTAGTTGTTATCATTCTTGTCAGCAAATGAAATCTGCACACAATTTGTGTGAAGTAATTCGAGTTGACGTACCCAGACTGGCCTATGTGCTTCTTTCCATTCTTCGATCTTGTCAGGTTTGACCTTGAAAGTAACGAAAAGGGTCAGCTGTTTTTGAGAGGCCATTGTGGTGTGATAACTATTTTGGTGCGGGTGACAGTTTTGAATACAGTCAGGTCAAGTGTAGCACAAATTTATCAGCAATAGAGAATGTCGCCGGTAATACCACCCTGGTTCTGCTTTTCTCCGCGCTTCAACCCTAATAGGTGATCGGACCGAGCACTTGATGATATTGTGTTTTTTTGTGGTGATGTCTCCGGCTGGGCAGTGGTCACAGAATGAGTGTCTTCGCCACCTGTTCCTGTACGAGGTTGTTTGTCGACGACGCCATGATTCGGTTCAAGTATGGCTCGTGAAACAGATCTTCACGGCGGCTCATCCCAATGCATATGATATATCAGCCTGCTATATCTGCCGGGTCGTGATGCACATGTGCCTGCCGAAGGTCATGCTGAAGGCATGCAGAGCTCCCGCAAAGGAGTGCCTCAGGCCAGCTCAGCGCGTCCTCAGGCGTGGAAGTCAATGGAGAATATATGACAGGATCGGCTCGTTGCTGAATCAGCAGACTGCCCGTATTCCACACGGTTGCTAAATTCCAATGTGCAACGAGGAGTCGAGGACAGTCATTATTTGTTAGGCGTCGGCTAGCCACCTTGCACGACATTGTCGAACCGCAGATTTCTCTGGAACAAGGAACAAAAGGGTCCGCGGCAAGGTTAATAATGGAGGCAGAGTCAGAGGCCGAGAATGGAATGTGTCACGTCGGCGGCTGGCTGACGGGCGCTCGGTCACCAGATGTACGGGTGGCTCTATTGGTGCGATGGCGATGGCGGCAGTCGAGCAGATTAGATTCAGGCTCTGCTGCTCCCCGTGCGTTGCCCGAGCATCCGTGCAGCGATGCTAGGCCTCTCTGGGCCCTGGGGCGCCAAACCACCTCGCATCTCGCCTCGCGCGTGAATGGTAATGCACACGGCCAGGGATCCTGCGTAGCCATCATGGCCATGGCGACGGTGCCCACCCCACGCGGCCGGCGCAGAGAGAGAGGGCTGCAACGGGGCGCAGGCGTGGAGAGGAGAGGAGCGCATAACATGTCTCGACGGTGACCTGAGCCGGCGCAGTGACGGAGCATCAAACGCAGTACATGACTCGGCCGCGGTGATCACGAGAGTCCGCACGGCGACGGTGACGTAGCAAGGCAGGCGGAAACACGTCGTCCATGCCTCGCGAGACATGCATCGAAGCGCACTTGCTCACAGGCGCCAGAGACCAGACACACGCGAACACGCCCGCGAGACAGACCACGCATTCGACTCCCGCATCACCGGCGAAGTCAGAGCGACGCGACCGCCCAAGCCTCAGCGACTCCCGGAACTCCAACCTCAGCTCGTATCCGAATGGACCAGAACGGCTTCTTCGCGGGAGCCAAGGGTCACAGACGGAACGATACGGTGCCCACCGTAGGCAAGCAGAGTGTGTACGACGGAGAAGCCCCGAAGCACTTCACCGTCTGCAATGTCGGCGCGGGAGGCATATTGTATCTCAAGCCGAGTCGCGTGCCCGCGCCCAACGCCCACTATGCTCCGGCGACTCCGCCAGCAACTTCCGAAGATGCATCGTCTTACTACTCTCAGCACGATGAGCGCCCGTTGCTGCGCGAAAGCGATGCCTCGGCGCTGTCCGGAACCTGGACACCGCGCCTCGAGCGCAGGCAGACAGACAAGCCCAACCGCAGGGCTGCACAACCCCCGATCAGCATGCACAATCCGCACAATCGACGAAGAGTGCGCTCCCAGTCATGGTCGTCCATGAGCGACGGTTGTCGCGCCACGAGACATGACGCCAACGAGTTCAATCTGCCTCGAAGTGAGAACGAGCGGCCGAGACGCAGACGAAGGAGCTCGGCAGATCTGGGACGAGGCGAGCTCGGCGTGTCGATTCCTCACTATCGTCTGGGCACGCCACGCTTCAGCGAGAGAGGGACAGCATATCTGCACGCCTCCATGGCCACCACTGCCAGTGTGCCTTCCTCCGTGCTCTCGCGAGCCGAGTACGACAAGCTGTTTCCCGTACCTCCCGGACGAGGCATCAGCTTTGTTGCGTCGGCATCCAACGGCCAGCTTTACCTTCATCCAAGCAATGCGCAGAGGAGCATGAGCACCATGGCCAGGACGCACGACTTGTCAGGAAGACCTTCGACAATAGGCATCATTACTCCCAGCACTTTTGACAAGATCGAATCAAATATCGACAATCCTGCAATCGTGCACTATCACCCTACTACTGGAAGGATTGTAGCTGCGACTCCGGCCCGCTTGATCGCGCAGATAACATCGCCAGACTTTCTGGACTATGAACTGCTCGCCGACTTCTTTCTCACCTTCCGCTGCTTCATGCAATGTCGAGATCTACTGGACTATCTTTTTGCCCGACTGCGCTGGTCGTTCACGAGCGGAAACGATGCAGGGCGAATTGTCAGAGTCCGCACTTTTGTGGCGCTCCGTCACTGGATCTTGAATTACTTTGCTGATGACTTCATGATGGACGCGCCTTTTAGGCAAGATTTCTGCACCGTAGTCAACGAATTGGGAGCTGTCCTGCGGCAAAGACCAGACCGTGGAGGCGGAGACATGAATATCTTGCTTGAACTCAAAAAGTGCTGGAAACGAACTTGCGCTCTATACTGGTCTGTGCCTGAAGACTTGGAAGTTTCGCCAGAAGCAGATATCACACCCGGCGGCGTCCAGCGAGAAAATCGCCCCGAAGCGCCTTCAGAGCTTAGCCTTCCTCTGTCGATTCGCCCAACCAATGCTCGGGGCTCCATCTTTGAGATGACCACCATCCAGTTGCCCCCAAGGTCAGAAGCTCCGCCACCAATTGCCAATGCGCATGGAACGACCAATCGGGACACAACAAGCACAGTCCGCACAGCAAGTATTCCTGTATCTCCACTAAGCGTAGAAAGCCTGGAAGTCCTTTCGTGTTCAGTACCATTCCTGCGAAACCTTCGGCCCAGCGCACGAGCCCGCGATCGAGCAAAAGAAGCTCCACGTCCGGCGGGAGCACCGCCAAAGAGTATGAATAATAACAAGGCGGACAAGCCTGGCTTGAGGCCAATAAGGCATCACAAGAGGAGTGGCAGCTTTTCTGACGCGCTGAGAGACAAAAGGACACCTCTATCTTCGCCGAAGGGAGAGAGCATCGAGCTGAAGGACTTGCCTTCATTCGCAATTACGGGAGGACTAGTGCGAGGCCTCTTGCTGCAGCCCTTGTCTCCGCATTTGGATAACAACGTGCCTGTCACGCCGGGGCCTGAGCTCGCCGAGCCTCGCTATATTGGAGGCACTGAGGCTGACGCTAGTGAGAGGCAGAAACACAATCTGGACGTCAAAAAGTTCGTTGGTGAAGTCCGGCGAGCTTTGAGCAATCGCAAAGGTAGCGGCAGTCGATCACCAGCTCGAAGCACTAGCAGCAAAGGCTCTACAGGGTCATGTGGGACTGAAAGACACCATGCGTTGAACCCTAAACCACAGCCGGACTGGCAGCAGCTCCCTGGACCAGCCAGACTGGATATTCTTGGACTTCGGATTGAAACTGCGTACAAGTCGGCCTGGGAGGAGACTTCTCGTACGGGCCCCGAGAAAGAAAAAGACCAGGACAACATGTCAGAGCCAGAGAGAGCAGATACCCCACGACCATCAACAGCATACAAGGATAATTCTCTACCGCCTCCACCACCGATTCCAGAGTCTTCGCAACCGTCCTTCGAGGCAAGAGACTTTGGTAGAGACACTCACGTCACCAATGGAAGCCGGTCAATCGTGATTGTTGATGCAACGGGCGCCCCAGAACTGCCAATGATGTCCGGAGGGCTGGGCGGCACTTCACTGAGTTCCGTGTCTACTGAGATGATGCCAATACCGCTTTTCCGCGACCGAGCCAACTTCGATCTGCCTCCAGGCACGATCGCTGGTAACACGCCATCAGAGCCACCACGAACAATGGCAGGCGATCCACAGTATCATTCGCGGTCTTCTGACGCTCGCATGCACGACTTGCTTGCTGGCCCTGGACGTTGGAGCTTGCGAGATCGCAGCAGTGCATACCAGAGCCAATATCCGTCCGATAGCGACCAAGCACGCGAGTCATCTGGGTTCGAAGGCATGCAACCCCTTCATCATCAGCTACGCAGAGTGCCAGGAGGCAACCTCAGAGACGTCAATCACGTACACTCACTTGAGATGGAAACCGGCCCGCCACGCCCACATTCGGAAGGCTCCATAGCTTCTCGAGTCTCCGCTGCTTCCCGTCTCTCGAAAGCGCCTACGGTGCCATCGAGAATGTCTCAAGACGATGGAGGAGTCCTGCTACCCGACAGCTCGATCGAGGAGGCTGTGAACAGAACCTCCGTTACCCTTCTGGCCACGCATTCCTCACAGCCCATTCTTCGACCCTCCTTCGAATCAGAAGCAAGAAAGCTCAAAGGCTTGCCAGATGAGGCAGCAGAGCTTGGAGGAATCGAAGCTGCTCTTCTGAAGCTCGAAGGTAAAATTCCGAGCCCATCGATGAGCTCGTCTTCCGGTCGCTCCGCAGACAGGTCTGTCGACAGGTCCTCGAGCTCCAAGGCAACGGAGACACCAGAAACACGCATCACACCAGAGACCAGAATAGCTGAGGCTGCAGCAGAGGAGAGGATTCCTGCGCTTCCACATCCGCTGGCACTTCAGGAAGTCTCTGTTGGCGATGTAAAAGCCATGTACGGCGACATTCCCATGAAGATTTCGCCTTCAATCAGGAACGATGTTCAAAGCCCCGCAACTGAGACTCAGGGCGCCAGCATTTTCCATCCTTCAGGCTCAGGCCCGGACTATCCTTCGGACTTCCCGTTACCCAAGCAACAATTGCACAATGCATATCGTGCCCAGACGGACTCGAATGCTTCGTCCTCTGTCACTCCGATGATGTCCAGGTTGAGTCGATTTGCTATCGCGGACCCATATACTGCTGCTTCAACGCCAGAGTCCTTCGCCTACGTCCACTCGCCGAACAGCATACACAGCAACTCGATGAAGATACCTTCCCTGCCGTCCGATCGCTATCCAAGCTTTCGACCTGGACCATGGGGCACCAGTAGCCACCCCTCGTATTTGCCAGATGACAACCACAGCATGAGTGACATCTCCACCGAAATTGCAGATGGTGAAGACATTGGCGTGCGAAGCTTTTTCTTCGATGATACAGGAAAGACGAACCCTTATCCCATGCATGCATTCCAGCCATTGTACGGAACACCCACTTCGACAGTGCCAACAATCACAGACCGCCAGACTTCGCCGGAGCGCACACTGCTATTACCAAGGCATAATGGATATATGGGGCAGCAACCTGGCAAGACCTTGAAAGAGAAGATCAGCAATCCTGCTCTTCAACTTCAAGCCTCCAACCAGCCATTCCCTCAGCGACCTCAAAAAATGCGAAGACCGATGACATCTCCTGGTAATGCGCCAATCATTGCCACTTTCGAGAAGCACATTCCATTTGTGTTAGCATTCGAGTCGGAAGTGGTTGCTGAACAGCTCACCATCATCGAGAAAGATGCTCTGGATGAGGTGGACTGGAAGGACCTGATTAGTCTGAACTGGCAGCAAAGTCCCCCTTACGTCCGCAACTGGGTCGACTTCCTCAACAAGGAGACGTCAAATGGCATCGATATTGTCATTGCACGATTCAATCTTGTCGTCAAATGGTGCATCTCTGAGATTGTGCTTACCGAGGCCCCAAGCGAGCGAGCGCGAGCAATCACGAAATATATCCACATCGCGAGTCACTGCCATCGCATGCGCAACTATGCCTCACTTTATCAGATCACATTGGCTCTACGATCCACCGAGATCAGTCGTCTCCATGACACATGGGGACTAATTGCGCTCCGAGAGAAGCACATGCTTGAGCAACTCGAGCAACTCTGTCGACCTCTGCGAAATTTCCACAACCTACGCGCAGAAATGGAGACGGCAATGCCCAACAACGGCATCATACCTTTTATTGGCTTATACACCCACGACCTGATGTTCAATGCGCTCAAGTCAGCGCGCATAACGTCTCCAGTGGCGGGCAAGGAACCACTGGTGAATTTCGAGCGATACCAAACGGCAGCTATGATTGTGAAGAATTTACTCAGATTGATCGAGGCGAGCTCCAGATACACGTTTCGACCTGAACCTGAGGCTCTCAGTCGATGTCTCTGGATTGCTGCGCTCGAAGATGACGAGATTACTGCGCGAAGCGTTGCGCTGGAGAAGGATTAATGGATTTATGATTCACGAATTGTTTGCCATTTCTTGGAGGCGTTTCTTGGCCGTCTTGGTTTGCGATACCCCTCTTACGAACCCCAATTGCATAACAGGCTCCTTTGTTCAATGGTGTTCAACGGCAACAGTACTCGTCGTTGACCTTAGAGGGCATTATCTTTCTGGGCATCCGCTTCGGTGGTATCTAATCAATAGAATGTCTACGAATGTAACAGTTGTAAATTTCAAGACTTTGCCCAGACGAATCTCCTGGGGTCTTGTGTGCTTCCCTTCCACTCCGCAAATCTGGGAAAGGAGAGGAGACGTTGACTTTTCTACAGAGCTCCTGAGTCTTTTGCTGCTCATTCGAATGCTGATGACCCGATCAATCTCCTGTTCCAGCACCACAGTAATCGACCGTGTCGCTTTCTTCTCTGGCAGGTTGCATCATCATCATCAGCAGCAGCAGGAGGGATGCGCGCTCACCGACGACAGCGATAGCGAACAGCTCTCGACCTGGGAGGATACAAGAGTAATTGCGGCCCCGACTTTGAAGCTTCTGAACACGGAACGTTCGTTCTCTCAATATCGATACCTAAGCGTTCCACCCAACCAGCACCAGCATACCGGAAATTCCTACGAGCACCGAATGTGAATCATCGGGAGCATGTTTTCACGCGCTTCGAAGGTTGTGTTGTCGAGTTTGACGAGTTCATCTGCTGCAGAAACTTCGAGGATTTCGAATATTGCGGCTTCCAGCCCGATGAGTAAGTACATCTATCTGTTGGCATATCCACTTCCTCTGCGGGCAGTAGCAGTGGAGGTCCCAAGGGCGTCGCAGCTCTTGTGATTTTCCTTGCCGGCCTGATTGGGGTTTCCACTGCAAAGGTGAATTGTGTGAGTGTGCGAGAAACGAGCTGCTTCGGTGCATTGGATCAGGCAAACCCCCTCAGTTAAGCTTGATTCGCGAATCTACGAACATAGACCGCGCGATGGCTTTAAACATCAAAACCAGATCTAGTAGCCAGACTGAGATCAGTGCCAGAATCATGGCTACACTCACCCAGATCACTCCATCGCTTTCCAACTCCTGCCCAAGGTAGACTGTGCTGAGGGTCCAGCCTACATTGGGGAAAATCATGCCTAGAAGACGGACGTTAGCAATGGCCTGGTGGGGAAAGAGAGCAGCCAGCATACTCCAACAAACGTTACCGAATCTCATATTGATGACCCATTTTCCGCGGTCTGGATCCTTTCCGAAAACGCCGAGCACTGTGATAAAGAATGCCAAACCAAAGACCCAGAGTGAGAAGACCCACATGAACACTCCAGCCCATACTGCAACAATCAACAAGACTTCTGGAGCGGTAGGATGTGTCGCGAAGAATCCATAACCTTGCGGACAAGCCCTGGCACAAGTGATTAAAGCAACGATGGTGAAACCCGTTGTTCCAGTCATGATGAAAAGTCCTGGTCTCAGATCCCTCGCAGGCCAGCCTTTCTCCAAAATATTTCCAATCGTAAAGGTCAGGAAAATCATGCAAACAATCCAGCCCAGTCCCTGAAACCCGACACCTGCCACCAAAATTGGAACACGCTGAGCTGGAGGTTGATCGGCAGCAATGGCTCCGGCAATTGTGCCTGTGAGCATGGCGTTGAGAACACATAAGAACATCGGGGGTTGGAATTCGACGACTTTCATAGGCGTCGTATGTGCCAGAGACACGATGTGTAGCGTTGTATTCGTGATGGTGATGGCAGCGTAGAGCCTATCGTCGAATCAGAATCAGCCATCCATTTCCGCAGCACCAAAAAGACGCTACGCACCAAAACAACACCCTTATACCAACCACCATCCACTGCCCCGTGTGAGGCACCGCATACCTCTGCATATTAATAATCAAAGTAGCAGCACTCAACCAAAAGCTCCCCCAAAAATAACATTCCGGAGCTTTCGTGAAACACTCTCTTATCTTCGCCGTATTCCCCGTCCAGCGCAGGATCATGAAGATCGTAAAGAGGACGTAAAGGACAAGATTGAAGATGAAGACGATTGTTCCAAGGGTTTGTTGTCCGGAGAAGTGTTTGGGGCATTCGGATATCACGATTGCGATTCCGCCGGTGGATTGGGTGCATGTGAACCAGGAGCAGGAGAAGTGTTGTTCGATCCAGGTGCGGAAGGGGAGGCGGTGGCGGTCATCTCGAGGTGCAGTGCCGGGTGGATGTCCATTCTCCAGGGGAGAGGAGTCCATGCCCTTGTCAGAGGACATGGTTGGTGGCGTAGTCCTGGGAGTGGGTGTTTATATCGTTGTTGGTATGGCGCTGACGCTATCGATGTTCCATATTCGCGTGCTGTGAGGATTCGTGCATTGACGGAGAGAAGTCTGGTGGGTTGCCGATGCTTCGGGTCAAGGCTTGATGAAGGCGTCGGGGGCCTTTAGTGACGATGTTTGTTCACGTCATTCGGGGATGCATTTTAAGGTTGTTCGGCATGGTCGAAGCAATGTGGGGTGCAGGAGGCAGGTCCGATCGACGGCGGAGATCACACGACATTCTACCGGCAGTATATATGTTGCAAACTGCAGAGCGACTTTCACGTGACAATGCGTTCTGAGATGTCCATATCGTCTGATGCTCTGACGACCACCTTACCGCGAGAGCTACGCCAGGCGCAATCGTTGGCTCGCTCTTTTACTCCCTCTCGGAACACCATATATGCCCGAATCGACCTACTTCAGCTCGGGGACTCAACAGTCGTGTAGGGCTGATTCGGCTGCTTGCTTCTTTCTGCAGGCAGATTGAGCTTTACACATGCGTGCTTGCCATCTTCGACGTGACCTCCTCGCCCGATCAAACTGCCTTGGGTCTCATGGATCATGGCCAACTCATCGTCCTGCTCGGAAAAGGTGTACGATCGCATTTCTGCTTCATTCCACCTGGAAATTCATGAGTCAGCTGCCCGAAGCCTCTACACGCGGATGGGCACTTACCATGGTGTCGTCTGCTGCCCTTTGTCATCGACGTCTCCAGTCAAGAAATGATTGAAAAAACCATGACTGACCAACGCAATCTCTTTCTCCGGCCGCGCTTTAATCCAGCCTCGAAGTTTCGCAGCTCTCGCATTCACGGCCTTAGGATCCGTTGCGTAGTCACCTTCATGCTTCCACCAGCCATCATTGACGAAGTGAAAATCTACTCCATGCCCGAATTCTTCCTCTAGGACTTCAACATTACTGCCTGTGTCCGAAGGTGCCTCGGAGACTTCTTCTGCATATGGCAGGGCGAGAATTTTGACCCCTCGTTGTATGCACGGCTCGAAAGCGATTTGACAGGTTTGAATAGCTCGGCGCATCGGAGAGGCGAGAAGCAGTTCGACCTACGCTTGTCAAAATCTCTGCTTGGTCAATGGCCACTGGAAAATGGCGTTCCGAACCTGTTGGTGTCGCTCGAAAGCGCGGCATGCCTGCCTGCACTGTTCTTTGCCCTTGTCTGTGAGGTGTGGATCTCTGATCAAGTGGCCATTCTTGTTGACTTCAGCAGAATGAAAGCCTTGCCCATGGCGCATCACATGCAAAAGTGGTGGCATTCTTGGATACGATGGCTGAGGTGGTGGACGTTGCTGGACTCGTCTATTACTTTGGCAGCGCGCAAGCGAAGTTGATGTCTTGATGAATTGCTACCAGCCTTGCAACATTGCTTGTTGTGACATGCCGATTCCACCTTCAGCAATTTATTAAGTCACACTTCCGGCGATTTGATTTGATCGTCGTCATCTTGCAGCGGCAGCTAGCTCTTGGGTAAAAGCATAATGTCGAGTGTTTGAAGATAGCAGCGCGTGGATGAATAGCGACTACCAGACCATTCTTGAGCGCGAGTGTGGTCCAGGTTTGCAAATTTCCGCCTCTGTGCTCCTGCACAGGTCGTCGTCCCCTCTTGAATGAACACAGGCCTCGTCAGTTGATTTCGCGCGGCCTTGGTCTTCCATCCGAAGCGCTTCACTCGGCCACGGAGCTCATGATGGACAAGTAAAGCAAGGGTAAGATATGATTTAGCTCATCACGCTTGCAGCACTTTGGAAGCCCCGTATGAGTCTGCGGCAACGCGACGATGACGCATCCCGCTACCCGCACACGAAGCTCCTACAAGGCCATCGCTGTCTTTCATATCGGTGTCACCTCCTTCTGCGATCATTATAGCTCCGGCAGCTGTTTCTGCATCTCGCCTGTCTGGTTTATGGTGTTTGTGTTTGGCAAGCCAGCTGCAAGTGCCAATTCTCAATCCATATCAGTGTCCACCAACTCGTCTTTCGGTTCTCGCGGCTCTTGCGCCTCGTGGAATTGGATGGCGTCGTCGATGTAGCTCAGAACAGCTCCCACGCTGTCTTCATCTTGGGCGTCGAGTTTGAGGAAGGACACTAGACTGAAATCGTCGATGAGTTGAGCAACTGCGCGGTTGAGTCTCGCAAACGAAGTGCCCGTCATGATGCTCTTAGGATCTTCTGGGTCACCATTGTCCACGCCCTCCTTGTACTCGTAGACCAGGCCGCTCTCCGGCGCATCTTGTAGCAGACTGGTGTCAGGATCGATGAAGCGCTTGAGTTCTTTCCGCGCAATCTGTCCCTTGACTTGATCCATCTTGCTGAGGATATTCACATGAGGCAGCTGCATCATGAGCATAGCACTCATGGCGCTTAGGGTGCCGGAGAAGAATTTGGCACGGTCGACGATGAAAGAGCTTTCGAGCAGGTATGCGACGCACATGCTCACGTTCAAGCTTCCGCGCGTCAAATGCTTGATCAACTGCGGGACTATAGGGACGTGGGTGTACAACTCGATCTGGCCAGGCATGTCGATGATGATCAGAGACTCTTCGCCTACGTCTTCGAGCGGATCGGTGATGAAATCGAGATTCTCCATCAGAAAGTCGAAGCAGTAGATCAGACCGCCGTTTGGACCCAGGTGCAGCTCCTCCATGACATCCTCGAGCGTGATCAAGTCCTTGATATCAACATCGGGCTCGTACATGAAGTCTTCTGCAGCGGGGTCCAGGTTGATATAGAAGCACGAACGGCGGTTGTTCTTGAGATGCTGGATGATGGCGGAGCAGAAGGTGGTCTTGCCAGCGCCGGCGGGGCCCATGACCATGGTGCCATATTTGGAGCCCATGGTCAGTCGCGGCGTGGTTCAGTGAGACTTGCGCGCTTCCGGCCAGAGTGGGAAGAAGCTGGCGATGTTTTGGCAGCTTTCGCCGTGCTTTGCTTCGCGCTAGAATAAGCAGGGGTTCACGGGCGCTGACTAAGCATCCGCATTCACGTTTCAACTTTCTGCCGCCGCGCCGCGCCCACGAGCTCCTTTCCTCTTCACACAACTAAAATCCAGATGATGAGCTGGCCTGCACGGCACATGCTTCACCGCGGCTTCGAGCTGCGTTGTGGATGCTGCTGACATGCTCCGGGCCCAACATCACCACTGATTGAGGAGCAATTTGAGACGTTCTGATGGACGAAGTTGTGTATGTCAGTCACGCGTAGGGTGCGGGAAAGTGTTCGCTTTCCCGCTGCGTGTGCTTCTATTCAGTTCCAAACGTATGCCGCGCATTGAGACAGCTGGGGTACATCAATGATTGCATTGCGTAGTCGTGCGTACATGTAGTGCTCTGAGATACATGAGTAGACACCTTTTGCCGGCGGAAGAGGTGTTGCAGACTGCTTACTACTACCCTGCTTACTACTCTTAATATGGTATAGCGCTCTTGCCTTAGGCTCTTGCTAAGTTATCAAATCTTCGGAATCGCCCGTACGTAGCGCGTAGAGGTGTTTTCGTCTCTTTCTCGTATTATTATCGCGATATATAGTCGTTAGTATAGCGGGTAACCTACTAGATAATATAAAGTTAGTTACTAGACTCGTACTCGCTATTTGCGAGGAAATAGGGCTTCTCGAGCGTACTAGGTTAAAGCCGCTACCTATTCTATTTAGGCCGCTTATATAAACGCTTAATATATAGCCGAATAAGTAGATAGAGTAGTATATAAAGTAAGTCGTATAGCTAGTAGATATTAGTATAGGAAGTTAAATTATTAAAGCGAGGTTGCCGTCTTAATACTACTACTACTAGGTATACCCGTATATCGGCTTCTAGTATAGTACTAACTATTTCCTAGGTTTACGAAGGTAGAAATACGCTAACTAGTAGTCGCTTTAGATATTAAGGGTTATAAATAGCGAAATAGTAATAAACCTAACCCGGAGCTAGGCTTAGCTAGTATTAGGACTCGTTCTATAGCGGATATCGTCTCTAAGTCGCGACTCGCTAGTTTAATACTTCTACTAAATTCGGTAAACATAAGAGCTACTATACTAAGCCTCGTATTTAATAGTCTTATTCTATAGATTTATAAGCAGTTTGCTAGCCTTATTGCCTAGTATCTACGACTTAATAGCTACTAGAGGTTAAAGATATTCGTACTAGCTACTCGGAAGCGTAGAACCTACGGTTTTATATAGGGATTTATCGATAGATACTTCTTAGGCTTCTATCGACCGTAGAAGAACTAGTAGAGGTTATATAGTAGTTACTATAGTAAATACAGATATAAATTCTAGGCTATTATTATACTAGATAGCCTAATATCTTTACTAGTTAGACTATTTAATAGACGAGATAACGAGTCGTTAGTAATTATTAGATATTAAACGTCGCTTATAAAAGATTATAAGAAATAGGCGTATTCTATATCTCTATAGTAACCTAGTATACTATAGCAACTTCGGCATTATAGCTCCTTATAAGCACTACCTTAGATAGTCTTATTTAATACTTTAGTAATAGGCGTTTAATAAGAAGCTATCTGGTATCCGGATTAAGGTTAAGCACTTATTTAGCTATATAATAAAGCTATAGTCCTATAACGTGTTCTTAAAGCAATTAAGGTTAAGGTAACAGCCTATTAGAGCCTACTTTATAGTAGTAGTACTACTAACTAACTATTATATCTATCTTTATAGATATAACTAGATAAGTAAGCGATTTAGCCCCTCTAAATTTATAGGAGTACCTCTAGCGGCCGGAACCGGACTACTCGGACGATAATAGTAAGAGCTCGGAGGGCTTAAATTAGTATAGTATAGAATAGACGGCTTCTAAGCTTAATCGACTATTTCCGAAGTAGTCCGAGTACTAGTAATAGAGGTAGTAGCCGATAGAGAGAGAACGGCTATATCTCGGAGGTTTAGCGTTCTCCGCTAAGTCCCTATATATACTTCGAGCTAGATTTACCTATAACCCTACCCCCTCTAATAATACTACTATATACCTACTATATATAAAGATATTATATAAGGTTGTTTGCCTAATTAACAGCTATAATAGTATATAGAAAGTTTGTAATTTAGATAAGAATTAGTAGACCCCGTAGTAGTTCGGGTTAGTTTAGTTTAGTTTGCTAAGCCGAAGATCTAGTTTGGTTTAGGTTGGTTTGCTAAGCAACTATAGGATTAGCTAGTTCGAACTATAGAATTTATCGGTTTCTAAGAAGTGTAAGAATGTCTACGTAACTCGAAGCAAGCCCTTTATAAGATACGAGAGTATAGCCGGTAGCGTAGCCGGCATTTTTTAGTTATAGGAAGGTACTTATATAACCCTAAATCTATAGATAATTAGCTAAGGGCACTAACTAATTAAAAGCATATATATATATAAGCTATTATAGTTTAGTTTAGAAACTATACTTATTAGGTATGAATTTTATCCTTTCGCTCGCTGTTTAATTCCCTAACTACTCGGTAGAATATTATTATCTAGATCTAGGCAGAACTTATCGATTTCCCTAGAAGCCCTCTTTAAGAAGTTCTAACACTTTCTAACTAAACTATTCTCTAATATTAAGTACTAGGATAGCTCCTCCCTCGGTATCGGTATAGTATATAAAAGAGCTATAAGGTAGCTCTATAGAACGTTCTACTAGTTACTCGCTATACTAAGGCTAAATACTAGTTCGTTCCTTAGAACTCTTAGTTATTTAGGAGATATTAAGGATAGGGCAGGCAGTAACTTCGTATTATATAAGGAGGTAGAGGCTGCTATAGAGGAGTCCTTTAACCTATAGAAGATAGTAAAAGATATAGAGGTAGCTATAGGTCTAGGTACCTAGTTGAATTTCTAGTAGGTAGAGTATAAGGATATTTAGAGGGAGTATTAGGTAGAGTTGCGAAGGTAGGTATATAATATAGTCTAGAAAACAGGGATAATGCCTATAACTATAAGCATTAGGCTCTTTAACCTTCCTTATTTTTCCCTATTTTCTTTTTATAAAAATCTAAACTAATACAAATTAACCGGAATGTCTATCTTCTTTTAGTTCTTTAAAAAACCTAGCAGCGTAGCCGGTAGCGTAGCCGGTAGCGTAGCCGGTAGCGTAGCCGGTAGCGTAGCCGGCCTTTTAACTCCTTAGTACTAACGGGATTTTCGAAGACTTCTATTCCGTACGGCTAATAAAGTATACTATACTATATATATATACTTAGAGAGTATTTAGAGCGCGGTATATAGCGCCGTATAATAGCGGCTTATTTCGTATATAGAAAAGCTTATAGACGATACTACGAATATCCTTCCTACTAGAATATCTATCCTATCTAGTACTATCTCGAATATAGATATTCTAGCCTTTTAGAATCTAATCGAGTGCTTTAAAAGCCTTGCCTATGATGGATATATACTTAGCGTAGATAACTATAAGGTTAATCCGCTAAAATAGTATTAGTATAGTCCGAAAAGAGGTAGAAGAGAAATATATATTCGTTTATACGAACTAGGTAGGCTTCTATAGCCTGTTAAAGGGCGCCTATTACGGAGGCTTAGAAGCGAAGGTCCGTTCTATAATCCTAGGCAATTTCGCGAATAAGTCGTTAGAAAGGAGCTTTATAGATTAGGAGGTTAGAACTCTTCTAATACTTCCGAATCTTACGGAGGGCTACGGCTAAAGAAGGATTAGTAAAAAGATAGTAAGAATACCGGCTACGCTACCGGCTACGCTACCGGCTACGCTACCGGCTATAAATAGGACTTACTTCCTAGGCGCTATCGACGCTTTGTACGATTATTGCTACTAGTAGTAGAAGCGCTAGTTATCGTCTTACGTAGAGCCTTGCCCGCCGTTGTCTTACGCGGAGCCTTACTCGCGACGCCCTTTCTAGTACTAGAGCTAGCGGTAGTAGTAGTAGCCTTCTTACGTTAATACACTATACTCGTTCTACTATTTCCGGTCTTATTATAACCCGTAGAAGTAGTAGGTCCCTTCTTACGAGGCGTCGTAACTTAGTTAAGTAGACTCGGTATTACGAAAGTAGTCGAATTAAGGAAAAAAGTACGTTACGAAGGTATACGAAGGCGCGTACGGAGCGAGGGTATTACGGAGGTAGTAGATATAGAGCGTAGAGGTATAGGTATCGATACGAAGGTTAAATATAGCGAGAGAGGTAGTATCGCGGTATCGCTAGGCAATAGAGTAAGCGTCGCGCAAGCCTATATTATAGTAACGTTAGAGTAAGGAAAGAAGGCAGGTGCGGCTAAAAAAGGCAGGCACGGCTAAAAAAGGCAGATACGGCAAACTTTGAAATATAGCCGGTATATATAGATAGATAGATAGATATTTCATTTGCCTGTTGTAGTGCCTTTCGGCCTATGTAGGTCTGTTTCTATGTATTGTTTTAGGTAGGAAACTAACTTAGTTGGTAAAAACCTCCCTCCTATCCTATTTATAAGTGTTGTTCTTCCTCGTTTCCTTGTTTTCCTTCCTCTAGGGTGTACTAGTATTATAGTTGTTACCCTTTAACTACCTTGCCTACTACCCTGCCCTTCTTTCCCCCTCTTCTTCCCTCCTTCTTATCTACTCCTTAGTTTCCCTTATTAGTGCGAATTGTTATATAAATCCCTATTTAATAATCTACTTTACTATCCTCTTTAGGTCTTCTTTGCTCTAGATTAGCTTGTCGTATTCCCTTTCTATTGCTTTTAGTCTCTAATTACTTCTGCCTTCTAACTATTAAGGGCAGACTAGTAGTATATACTTAGGGTTCTAAGATTAGTAGCTATATTAGTAAGCTCTGCTTTTAATTCCTAGGACGTTTCTTCTAAATAGGTAAGATCTGAGTCTAATATATTTAGATCTAATTTAGATAGCTAGGCTTGCCTCGGCCCTATTTAGGTCCTTATAGAGCTAGTAGTTATATTAACCGAATTTGATTAGTGCCTTTAGGGTTCCTAGTCTGACTTGTGTTTTGTTCTATTCCTGCTCTTATAGGTGTCTAGTAATTGATTCTACTAGGCTTTGTTTCTCTCCCTTTAGCTTGTCTTCCTTTAGCCTTATATTTAGTCCCTAAAGCTCTTTCTCTAGTATTTCTCTTATTAAGACTCTATATTACTCTAGGTCTTTAACTTTCTAGGGAGTTATTTATAGTCTGTCTCGCCTCCTAGTCCTAATGCACTAGGCTTTTATCTTGTCTAGTGCCTTTTAAATAGTCTATTAGGCTAGGTATTCCATTATCTTTGCTATATATTAGTGTCTTAGTCCCTTAAAGTATTGTTTAACTAGTGGGATCCCTAATTCTATTTCTACTACCCTTATTAGTATAGTTTTATATGCTCCTAGGATTTTCTTTAGGCTT